TCTGGTATTAACCCTGTCCCCATGCACTTGCCATATACATGGGGCATCAATTGGTTCACGGTTCAAACCAACCAAACCAGGTTCAGTCCAGGTTCAGTCCAGTTCAAGCACTTAAAACTGTAGGTTCAGTTCAGGGTTCGGACCAGTGTCTGAGAACTGAACTGCTGCACCAAACTTTGGCATCCCTACTCATAATCATATTCCCCTGCTTCTTGTATGACTTGAAATTTATCAGCCTTGCTTGTTTGCATGCAAAGGAAGATGTAGGGCTTGGAGGTGCCCAGTTCCATAGCTATTTGGTTAATAAGTGAACAGTAGACTTGCTCAGTTGACAAAGGGAGCTAGGGCAAATTGGCAGGTCTGAGTCATCGCCACTCAAAGCTACTGATGTTCAAGCTAGAGATGCGCTTCTTCATCAACTCTGAAATAGCCTGCGTAAAATAGCACCCCATCCGAGCAGACGGTTAACAACAGTAAGCCTTAGCTTTTTGAGCTGATAGGGTCAGCACAGGTCAGTAAGGGAAGGACCACTATGGCACATAACTTAGAAAACCATGTGTGCGATATCTGTACGGGCACAAATATCCGACTATTCCAGGCTGAAAAATACAAGTCTACAGGGCTGAAAGAACACGTACGTACTGTAGATGACTCAGGTAATCGATGGTCGTATGTGTTTTGCATCATGTTGACGGCCCCTTCTGGTTGAGCTTGGGAACGATACAATTCACAATTCAGTCTAGAATTAACCAGGCCTTGGCGACAAACAACAAGGCTGGCCAAAAATTGTATACACAGCGTACAAATAGGTCATTTTAATATCAACACACAGTGAACAAGAACGTACATCTGAGACCACAAATAAACAAGCTATTTTCGGGTAACTCAGAAGCCTCGTCCGCGGCCTCTACCCCTTCCTCGACCACGTGCACGTTCGACTACACCTCTACCTCTCCCTCGTCCACGCGCATCGTCTTTCTTTCTACCCTTCGGTTTGGGCGCATCATCGACGAGCAGTGTGTCCAAGGGCAAAGCATCGGGGAGCACAAAGTACCGAATATTGTTACCCCGAATCGACAACGAATCGAGTGATGTTGGATCACGATTACGAGTGGTCATTTTGACAGTTTTCAGATGAGTGTTCATCTGCATATCTACTCCTGTAAGAGATTAAAATTTATCAAGTGTCCTGAGCTAGACGATGAGCATATATTACGTACCAGTGATAGTCCCATGCACTACCGAACCATTTTTCAACTCGATCGTCACTGTCTCATTATTCAATTTCATCAAAAATCTAAAAAGCGGACTATCAGCGAATGCCTTACAAAAATTGCAGCGAAGGTATGAATCTTGGAGATCAAAGCCAAAAAATACATATGGTTAATCACCTCACGAGCTTCATCTTGGAAAGTTGAGCAGTGGTTTAGAGATAATGTGGCCTGTCGATGTGGTGAGGAAGGCGTGCTGCGGAGTTTCAAATTTAAAGTGGCTGCGAAAATAGAGATCGCAACTTGGTTGATACACAAACTTGCTTGTAGTTGGTTAGCCATCAAGTATATCTAAACCACCGAATATAGGCAAGAAGCTGAGGCTTGCAGTCTCCTTCGTGCATGAATGGTAGTACAAGTGAAACAATCTACTGCGACGAAGGCTTCATGCTCAGCTCAGTGATATAAGACCAATCGAAACTTACCACAGTCCCACTAGACCGAGACTCACAAAATGACATTGTATATTTCGAGGCCAAATGTAGACATGCAAGTAGATGCCAGGAAAGTTACTCTCTTCGAGGAAGTTTATATCGCACATCGGTTCTGACTTGTGACATGATTATCAGGTGGTTTTCTTGATTTGAAACCGTGCGATCTCAATTTTGTAATCCACTGAATTTTTAGCCAATGTAGAGCAACAAGGAAAGTATCTAGCGGCAGAGACCGGCTGTGATCACATGACAGCATCTATTCAGAAGTTGTTCACATGAGCTTGTCCCCTGACTCATCGAAGACCAGTGTCTCCCACTCATGGCAGTAACTTCCGTCATCCTCACTTCTTCCTTCCATGAGGCCTTTGCTGTTCTAGTTCACTTATCCCCATCATGACCAAGCTACCATCAAGGTCCCACTCGTAGACCACCACTCACAGAACCAGCGTCCGTAATCGCTACGATTCCCGACGGCGTCGCAAGCGGTCGTGGTCAAGCAATAGGAGCACCGGGGAAGTCTTGCGAGACTTCACTTCATCGGGTAAGCTCCCCAAGCTAAAAGCACTCGGCCCTCAGAAAAGAGGGGCTTACAACGCGTGTCACATCAGATGGTGCGAGCACTGTTAACGGAGCTATTCTTGTGCAGCCCCTGGGTAGTACCTTTTAGTCAAATATATTCATCACTTTTGTCTCCAGCCGCGGATATGGTTCCTTCTTTGATCTGTCCTCTCATCGGTCTCAATGTCTAGCCCCACGTCTTCCCTCCGCCTCCCAACACTTGGAAGCGCTTTGGGCGTTTGATTCACTGCATCTGACCACTGCATCTGTGATGTCTGGCCAGTAATGGGAATTATCGAGCTAGTCCATATGCACAATATTGATCCTTTTGATGTTCACTTCCAAATGGACAAATATTAACTGCACGAATACTTGAACACGATGGAGATCCGTTCGGGCTTTACTCGGGAGAGCGTTGAGAACTTGTAGTCGAGAGGTCTCAGACCCTAAGGGTGACACTAAGATATTAAGACAGCTATTGGTCACGAGCATTCATCTCGAATCATAAGGCGGACCGCCTCCCGTGCTCCAGGCCTTATAAAGAAGAAAGGTGACTCCGGAAATGTTCATGCTCTCAGAAGCATTCACCATGACACGGTCAACAAGAAATCTTCATACTGCCATCAGTATCTTAGCCTATGCTGCACTCTATCCCAACACCGTAAAAGCTTTCGACAATGGAGTTGGAAGGCTACCTGGTAAGCTTGTGGTTCGACTGCTATCTTAACAGACATTGATATTTCGTCCAGCGATGGGTTTCAATGGCGAGTAATGCAAATTGTGTAACATGAATTGGCTAAATCGCACTATTCGGCAGCCTGGAATGCATACGCTGTAAGTGATAATGACAATGTTGCCGTTGACACGGCCCAGACTTGACCCTTCACTGATTTCTAGTGCAATGTCAATGAGTCGCTCATAGTCCAAACCGCGCAGGATATGCAGAAGTTGGGTCTCCAGGTCTCTTTTTCTTAACAATGACTCCTACTGCGTTCTTAGAGCTTTCTTAATTATTAGGACGTAGGGTATACTCAAATCAACTTGGACGATTGCTGGGCTTTAAGGAATCGCAGTTCAACTGGTGAAATCCAATCCGGTAGGTTTCCTTACGAGCCCCGTTATCGAATATTCTTACCTTGGGCTTGCAGATCCTACCCGATTCCCTGACATGACCAACCTGACAAGCACCCTTCATGATATGGGCTAGTACGTATGATATTAAAACAAGACACATATCGCAACTCATGCTTGATTTGTCATGTAGCAAAGCTGGTATCGTGAGTGACCATGAACTATTTATACGGGGAAAATACTCACCTTTATCACGAAGTATTCCGATTCTGGCTGGTTTACATGCGCTGGCTTCGCAGGATCGTTCGAGCACGAAGAACAGGATGCCCTCACGTTCCAGTCTTGGGGATTTGATTTCCTCAAGTATGTACAATGTTTTTTTACGTTCTATATTGGTCATTGATAGCTCTTTCCATGAAAAGATATGATAATTGCGCAAGTGAGTTAATGTGCCCAATTTAATCCCTGATCTATATTTAATCTACGTCTAGTTCCATTCGACGATGTCATTCGCGAGGGTATGGTTGGCAGTAAGTGTGCAAAGGCTCATATATAGCCCCAAATATCATTTGACTGTGTCGCAGAATATCAGCGTATGTCAGATGCACTTGTTGTAGTGTCACAGCAAACAGGGACCGACTTCGTCTTTTCTCTGTGTCAGTGGGGTTGGGTGAGCTTGTCTCGTTATAATTCTTGATTCTCAAGCTGACTCAGGAATTGAACAGAATCAAGTTTGGCTGTACGTTGTAATTTTATAAAGACAATCTTAATATTTTCTGTTGATCTCACGATTTTCCAAGCTGGGGAGCATCACTATCTCATAGTTGGAGAGTGAGTTGACTGTTTTATGTTCCATCTGGACTAACACGAACGATAAAATCATTAGATTGATGGAGATATTGAAGCTAACTGGGATTCCCTTGCGAGCATCATTAACACGTTTGTGTCTTTTTCATTCTACAGGTTTGTTCGATCTGGTCTGACCCGCTTTCAGAGTGTCATTCATTACTCAAGCGACCAATTTCTACGGACGCAATGATCTCGATATGGTACGTCCTATACTAACGCTTAATATTCATATGCTAATAGGCTTCACAGCTTGAAATGTACGCTCTATAACAACTCATTCATTAACTCGATCGATGAATGGCATGTCATAGTGGCAATGGTAACCTCACATATGATGAATCCAAGACTCATTTCACTGCTTGGGCATTGGTCAAAGCACCTTTGCTTATTGGTACTGACGTGCGTCCCGCTTTTTGTCACATTATCCTGCTTTTTCATTGAACAGAAACTCTCATATCCCTAGGTGGCCACCCTCACCCAACAAAACGTCGAAATATTGAGCAACCAGGAGATTATTGCCATCAATCAAGACTCTGTTTACGGCACTAGTATCTCACCCTTCCGCTGGGGTATAAATGTTTGTCCCTCGTCACTATGATTGTCTTAGTACTGGTGGTAAAGACCTACCCTCAGGCCGATTTTACTTTTAATACCACTTTCCCCGCTCAGTACTGGAGTGGCCCCAGTGAAAATGGTACTGTGTTCATGTTGGTTAGTACCACCTCTGGGATTTCCGTTGGCTAGTGTGACTCATCAAATTTCACAGATAAACACTCTTTCCGAGCCGGCTGATATGTTCTTCAACTTGACCGAATCTCCGTGGACCCGTGCTGGTATCCAATACTCCGTCAGGGTAAGGGCTCTTTTCATGCTGCAGAATAACGTCAGCCAGCTGACCGTAAATTCTAATTTCGTAGGACCTGTGGACCCACACCGACAATGGTACTGCTGTACGCAATTTCACTGCCTACGAGGTGCCTTCACATGGTGTTGTAGCCTTGCTAATGCAGCAGGATGGCCCCGAACCCCCTGGTCTTATGCCATTGTGTGCTGGTGAGGCAGAGAGCCAATGTACTGCCGAAAATGGCACATCTGTTGGTTGAAACCCTGTAAATTTTGTCTTGATTGTATTCTATTAAACCGAGCTACGTTATTGTGAGACACGCATCTCACAGTTGAGTCACGAGCCAAGGAGGGAAGATGTGTTATGTGCATACGATTCGTTCTACCAATTGTGTTTCATGCATATGCATGACACGACGATTTGAGAGAGCGTGCGATTTACTTCCACCAACTGGCAGTCATGTGAATCTGTTAGTCCCGCCTTTGTATTGCTTATGACATCCTTGGGGCCTTGCAACACACGCGCTTCGTCACGGTACTCTCTGGTACTCCACTGCACTACGACGGCGTAAATCGACAGTTGACAGTGCCAGTGAACGTAGAGGTTCATTTCCATCCACCACCACCTTTAACCCCTTTGGTTCTGCGGCCATACCCATTTCAGAGCTACGCCATCTGATTGCTATCGGAAAAGTCAGGAGCTGGTTATTTCTGTCAAGTATTCAGACCACGATGGCTGACGTTCAATTTTGTCATCTTCAACCTGGGTAGATAGCTGCAAGTCAAGATGCGCGCAGGTCACGATGTTGCCGATCGCAAAACGCCACCTGAACCTGCATATGCAGCTTCTAGATCAACAGTTGGACTCCCTCTGCCAATCATTAATAGTACGTCTGACCCATTACGGTCCAGTGGGATGTTGCAAGTGATGAAGAGTCGCCCAGCTAACTCTTTTCCTTGTAACAAGATCATCCATCTTTCAAGCGGACCATGTCCCTAACTGTAACAGCTCTCTCCGTGTGGCTGGCGGCTCTCTTGGCACTCTATCTATTGGACAATCCTAAACCTGTTCAGCCTTTGAGGGAGGGAGTAGCTCGCTTACCTGGTCAGTTTTCTACAAAGTCAATAAATGATTCAGATGATTTTCAACTTTAGCTGGCTTTGCTCTCTAGTTATGGGGTACAATAGTGAGTGATTATGCTACTCCGACACTCCATTCTTGTTCACGTCCTACCTTTGTAGCTTGGAATGCATATTATGTCAGCTCGGAATATCCAGGTTCCGTTTTGTAGAGTATTGATATTGTTTTGACCCAGTGTGATATCGACGAAGCACTTATCCTTAAAACTGCTAATCTCATGAAGTCGCTTGGACTAGCCGTGAGTCATCAACCTCCTTTATCTTAACAGTCTTCGGGACTCCTGATAGGATGCTGGTTACGATCATGTAAACATTGATGACTGCTACTCGGAAAAGACTCGTAGTGCATCCGGAGACATCGTCGCAAGTAAGTGATTGCAATGTATTTGGCGGTTATTCATAGTTTATGGAGCTCTTCTGTCCCTCTCAAACAGACAAAGACCGCTTCCCTAGTGGCATGAATAATCTTACGGACCAGATTCACGCTCTTGGATTGTGAGCTCCTTAAACTATCTCAACACATATTTTGCCTCGTGCTGATGTTCGGTTGCGTATCGTAATTTTAGTAAAGCAGGCATCGTATGTATTTGATACGCAGGGATATTATTGGTTTCTCACTTCTCACTTTCCCCTCTGCATTAAAATGTGATTAGTATAGCGACTCAGGGTGGTTTACCTGCCAACTTTACCCTGGCTCTTATTCAAACGAGGCCCGGTTTGTACTTTTTTGCATATATGTAAGACCATATACTTATCAATTTTGTAGGGACGCCAAATTATTTCAAGATTGGGGATTTGACTATTTGAAGTGCGTTCTTACATTTTGTTGCATCGATATATCAAGTATATCTGATGATGATAATGATCATTTAGATATGACAATTGTGCTGGTCAGTGTAGTTGCCAATTGTATTGATATAGGCTAAACCCACGCCTATCGCGCTGTAGTACCTTTTGACAACATCACCCGACAGAACATCATAGGGCGTAGGTAGCTCTATAACTCAGTTGTGTACTCGGTCTCACCGTAAATGTCTGCTAGGTTACGAGCCGATGACTACAGCGATTAGTGACCTTGCCCAAATGTCCGGCAAGCCTCCTCTGGCACTATCTTTATGTCAATGGGGCCGAGTAAGTGGTTGCCCTATTCGGGTTTGCATTCCACCACTGAACACATAACGCAGGAACAACCTTGGTTGTGGGCTCGTAAATTCGGACAAAGCTGGCGGGTGTGTGGGTTAATTCCGGGACATATTTAACATTTTCATGTTTTTTTTATCAACAGACTACTGACGATATAGGCGAGTAACAATTTACGCGGGCGATGTACGATGTTCATTTATTTTGTACAGAATCAACATGGGATTCTATTGCTAGCATCATCAATCAGTGAGTGTTCGTTAAGTATCGCTATTTATAAAATTTATGGGCTGGATAGAAACTCGTTTATTACATGGGCCAGCGACTTTTATGGACATAACGACATGGATATTGTGAGTTTGATTTCTCATTATAATGTCCATAATACTGATGTCTCTTTCACAGCTTGAAGTGTGCGTCGTCATGCTTTCCCTTTGCAGTGTAAATAATCTATCTACAGGGGAAATGGCGCCCTTACGTATGAGGAGACCAAGTCTCATTTCACGGCCTGGGCGATGATGAAATCTCCGCTCCTCATCGGAACTGATGTAAATAGCTTGATCGTTCTAGAGAGATCATGACTAATTTCGTTCCAGCTTTCGAGTGCTACGAAAGATACACTTGAAATTCTTACTAATCCTGAAATCATAGCCATTAACCAAGACCCCGTTGTTGGTACTAGTATTTCTCCATTTAGATGGGGCACAAATGTACGCTTCACAATTCACAACCTTTTCGGATCAAACCGCTGTAATGTGTCTGCATAGTCCGACTGGGTGAGTAATAAGACTCATCCCGCTCAATACTGGAGTGGTGAGAGCCAAAACGGCACAGTTTTCATGCTTGTGGGCGTTATTTCTTATTGTACTACCCAGTCTTGTTATTGACATCTTTGACATCTTTCAATCAGTTGAATACTTTAGACGAGTCATCGACGTTGTTCTTTAACCTAACGGAATCTCCATGGATTCGCGCAGGCAGGCAGTACTCTGTCCGAGTAAGACATTCTAGCATGAAGCAGCCACTCTTACCTGATAAACCACATCCAGGACCTATGGACTCATACCGACAATGGTACAGCCATCCGCAACTTCACGGCTCACGACGTTGCTCCGCATGGCGTTGTAGCTTTGCTGCTGAAGGATGCCGGGGATGAGCCTAAGGGCTTGTGGCCACCCTGTGCTGTCTGGGAATGGTGTATGAATGAGAACGGGACGAGGATTGATTAAGAACGAGCTCTCCCCTTAAATCTTTCGGACTGGCCACGCGAGACTAAGCATGGATGAGGATCTTGAAGTGAATGCTTTTTCGCCTGTTGTAATACTACTAGTAACAATGTATTGTTCGTGTCCTTCATCTTCTTGTACTTTTTAGACAATTATAGCACCGTTTTTCGTGCACAAACATCCGCTGGCCTCCTATCTATATTCTTTTGATGGCGGCTTTATGGGAATGTTCACGTATGCTACTCGTATGCTGCTCAAATTGCAGATGCGGTGGCAAATCCGCGGCTCGGACATTTTCGCGAGCGTGCCTGGTGTGTTGATAGCACATTGTGTAACTTGTGCTCGTACTTACTACCGCGGGTCAAAACTTTCACAGCCAAGATTGATGGTACAGCAGCATTTCTGCCCGCTCAAACGTGCACGAAGCTTTATGCCAGTAGAAGTCCGCGCGAACGCATCAGCGGTCAAGGCAGTCCGGTAGGTGAAAGAATAGTCTCCCTTGCTGACCTAATTCAATATATTGATGATAGTCGATCGATATCTTGTAAATAAGGTGAAAGAACACGCTCAGTAGTAGTCATTTGACTCAAGGGTCATTGAAAGGTTATTAGCTACCATGATTGCCCTGAGTGGTTTGCACTGACCGCATATTCTTTGCTACGCCCAGTCTACTTATATTGAGGTAAGCTCTGTCGTCCTCTCGCTTCGAACACGAGATAACTAGAGCATAAGGACACTTTATTGGTTGTCAGGCCTAGTAGTGATGACGAATCCCGCATTGAATAGGTTATCATCAAACTGTTATCTGCAGCTGGCGGGCGCAGCGGCTGCTAGTGTGCTTTCACTAGTCGCTGGTTATGCTCTTGGATCAACAGTGTCTTCGGATTTGTCTCATTCTCCAAGTAAGCACATCTTAATGTATTAAGAGTGTGCTTCAGAGAATGTGACGTAGTATCAACTTTCTCTCAGTCACCCACATATAGTATGCATGTCCTGACCATAGAATAAAAGGCACAATACTTACACAGCCCTTTCACGCATATGCGTCGCCAATCGCACAAACAACCAACTTCTAGCTAAAGCCTGAACAGATCCGCCGGTGATGCCAGTAATCCATTCTTACTACTCGTGGCCCAATATCTTTGGCAACGGTGGTATAGTATGACTGTCATCGATTGTGTAATGGGTGAGCCATCATTGCTTCGCCTTGCTCGATCATTATTCGAATCCATCATTCATATCCAGGTCGAGAATTGCGGGATAAACATGCGCCCTGTGTCATATGCTACCTCGTCATTTGGATTGGTCTTCGTAAGTCTTGTCGCCTGTAGTTCCACGAATAACTTTTCAAAAAATGTATATAAGAAAACGAGGCTTCCGGATCCTACTCATGACAATCATTCAGTATCCACATATATTCTAATAACTCGCCAATTTTACCATGTTCACCAACCTCAAGGCCGTCGCCCTCGTCGCCGCTGTTACCGTTATTAGCGGTGTCAATGCTGAGTCGCACACCGTCACCTTTTCAAACAAGTAAGATCAATTTACTTTGTGCTTGGAATTCTTGTTGACAGGTCATCGTCTAGCTGTGGCTACGGTACCGTTAGTATTGCCTGCCACCTATTCGTGGTGCCGTTTTGGTCTAACATCTGGTGATACCCTGCTAGCCAACTTTGATCCAAAATGGAAATGTTCTATCCACTGGTGGAGCCTACACTAGCAACGGCCCTCTTACAGGTGCAATTGCGTTAGTACTTTTCTATAACACGTATATGATCCATAGTTGATTGTTTTTGTTGCAGTTACCTCCAGACTGGTTTGCATGCCTTTTGCTTTGGTTGGAACGAAGCTAATCCTACTCGACAGGTAACTGTGGTTTCAACGGTGACAGCTGCACGATGGTTGAGACTACCCTTGTGAACCCTACCTCTGCTGGAAGTGGCTCAAGCACTGATATCACCCTCATCGCTCCGTACGTAGTTTCGCTCTTACACGCTCTGACCAGCCTCATTTTTTATTCTATATAGCCACTCATTCTCTGTGACCACCGGCTTTGGGTAAGTATGGTCCGCAACTTGGAAATTATGAATCAGCTCACATAGTTTTCCCAACAAGGTACTACAATGGCTGTGACGGAGCCGGCAGTGACTGTTAGTGCTACATGTTTTCCTTTTACCCAGTTTTTGCTCAAATATTCCTATTCGCAGGCACCAGTGCCAGCTGCACCACTGCATTCCACGACCCTAGCCAAACCTACGTGCAGGTTGCTTGCCAAGTCGACAATGTGAGTTGTTAGTTGAATTGAGCATTTTTACTTTACTAAGGCCACCAATTGGACAGGTTGACCTTTCTATCACCTTCTGTTCCTAGTGGGTATTTGGTGAACCTTGCGTGGTTCTAGAGTTGTAGGTCAGGTTAGATTATATGTGATCAACTGTTTTCTAGTACCAATTTACTTGTATATATACCGCGGGCACACTAATATGACTGGGGCTCTTTTGTGAATTTCAAAATGTTCACGGTAGTCTGTCAGAGTCAAACAGGAAGCATGGGGTGACTTGAATGGATTTGATTAATGCGCTCCTATTGTGATTCAGAGGGACATCATGATATTCTGACAACATTCATAACCACATGAGATAGCGAGTGCGACAGATGTGACTCGTGTTTATATAAACGAGACGATAACTGACGATATCGCCTTCAAGTAGTTTAGCTGGGTTACACTAGACTGGTGGCCTATTATTTTTCTCAAAGTGCATTGATGCTGCCGCTCGTTGTCCCGATGCAGTGCTCAAAGGTGGATTACTGTGGTGAAACATTCCCTTACAAGTGGTATCGACGCCCGTGCAAAGGCCAATTTTATTTAACGGAATAAAGCGATAGGACCATCTGAATCTGGTCCCCAGTCGACCAAATTACGGATATGACTGTCGATACTGCATGATTCGTATCAAACGGAAACAAAAAATCTCAGTGCGGGTGTTTGAGCATTACTAGTACGGGATCATTGCGAAAACCGATGTGTTGCACGTTTGAGAATGACTAATGAAAAGTTGGATTCCCCCGTGTCACAAAACAAGGAAATTCCGGCCTGGATTGAAACAAGTTGCCGTAAGTGTTGTAACTGGGTCCGTGTCAATAGAGTTTCGTAGTAAGTAATAACTTCTGAGTTAGGCTGCAGTATTATCGAACTTGAAGCTTGAAGTGTGGCATTATAATGGAGTTCACGATGTGACCATACGGCGTAATAGATATTCCATTGCAGCTTTGTGTAATGTATTTATCCGGGTAGCGCAAAGTGCATTTTCGGCCTTTCAATCTCGCACCTCCATCATGATTCTCCTTCAAGTTACACCGCTAATCCGGTCCAACCTCTCCGAAAGGGAAAACGAGCACAACCTCTTGCAAAGGTCTGCGGAGCTATTTGTAAGACATGTTTTGTCGACATATAACCTACAACAGTAAAATAGGTATTAATAATGCATCCCACGCAGTAGTACAGAAGGGTTGCATAAGGCCTTTGTGTAGTGATCCAAGTATGTTGACAGGCATAGTTGGTCCGTTTGTTTTACTAGTACGGTATCCACAATGTTATATTAACACCTTGTGAATGTCTCAGTAGTGTCTTGTGGGCCTCTGTAGTAACACGCAAAAAAGCACTTGTATTTGACATGTGGACAGATTTCCTGACAGCTTCATCATAATTGATAATTTGTACTACAGCATGCCACAGTATTATTGTACCATACGACAGAAAATAAATGAATGCATGAACAAATGGATATACCAGGAAAGCAATTCTAGCCTAGTGAGAGCGGTCTCCATCAGACCAGGTGGAATAAGTGCTTTCTTTGGTCGGTGCAGTAAGATCTTGCTGTTTTTGAATACTTGCCCATAGCTAGAACAAAGTACAAGTAGCGCAACATGTCATCAGTTGAATTGCGACAGTAAAGACAATCAACCTGCCATTGGGAAAGAAAATTGGTGAGGTGCGAGTTCTGGCTGGGAAGCAAAGAAAATAATTATAAGACAATTAAACTCAGACTTATTAAGCAAACCATTTAAGCTCCATGTCTCCGCAAACACAATAGAGCTGGGCAAAGCTGTGGTCTATCTAGGTCTTCGTCCTTTTGTGTACTTGCCTTGTCCTCATTACAGATAATGTACTATGACTTTTTTGATAAGTTTGTAAATCTATTGGGACATGAGATGTGCTTGAATTGTGAAATGGTTTGATTGCTTTCCAGAATAGAATTACATTGTAGTCATACTCATAGTGAAGCTCTTATGGATGACCATGCATGGTCGGTACAATGATGAAAAAACATCTATAATAAACATTGAAGAGACGCCACTGGCTCAGCCATAAAAAAATCAATTCTATAAATATCTTAGAAACGGCTACTCTATACTTCCGATACGACCTTGGAATTTTTGCTATCCATAAACGACTCTGACACAACATTAGCCTCGTTCAAGGTGCGTTTCGTAAGGAAATTGAGGAGAGAGAAAAGGTGTCGTCAGCGTGGAAATAGCATGACGAAGCGACGGCAGTAAACTTACGCTTGAGCCGAGACTGTAAATCAATAATAAACCTATATGAAAAACGTCAGGAAACCTAGAGGTTGAGATTGAATCAAGCATGCTTCAAGTTATATAAAAGCTTGGAAAGCATACCTTGACACCTCATCCACCATGCCTCGTCATCAACCCACTGCTCGCCAGCAGCGTCTCGACGACCTCGACGACTCGCTCATCTACCTCCTTCAACGCCTCATCCGCCGCAATTCTCCGGTGGCGCAGATCGAAAGCCAAAATTCAGAGGGCGACGCATCACGTGACGCGTCACTTGCGAGTACTCCGTTATCTGTCGTACACTCAACCTCATTAATGTCAGGTAAATCCCTATGGATTAATTGATTAAATATTTTCTAGTGTTTAATGCCTGGTATTTAAATATCAGGTATATCACCTGATGAGGAACCAGCTGGGGTTGTACAAGTGCGCCCCAGGATACGTCATATTCAGATTCTACTTAGTGAATACATCCGTCTAAGCAGTGAAGTAGAAACCACAAGAGTTTTTACTACATACCCATCAGCACCACGTATTTCACAATTTCCTCTTATGGAGTGGTCACGTCATTACAACCAGACCCATTTTTTCCATGTTAATCGATGCCAACCAGAGACTTTTGATGCAATTCTGGCCAAGATCATCCATCATCCTATTTTTCATAATAAATCTAATACACCACAAACTCCTGTAGAACATCAACTCTCAATCTTTCTGAACCGCCTAGGCCATTATGGCAATGGATCTACGGCCGCTGACATTGCTGACTGGGCAGGTTACTCAGTCGGCAATGTAGTGAACAGCACCAAACACTATATGATTGCTATTCTCTCTTTGCATGATCAAGTTATTGGGCCAGCTAATCAGGAGGAAAAGGATGCAGCAAAAGCATGGGTAGAGCACCAGGTTTGTGCGGAGTGGAGAAATGGATGTTTAGCAGTTGATGGCACCAATTTTCGCCTCTTCCAAAAGCCAAGCCACTATGGGGAGACATTCTTTGACAGGAAATCAAACTACTCTCTGAATTCTCAGGTAAGTAACATTATTTTGGAATTATATGAATAACCTGATGGTTTCCCTAGATTACCATCCTCCCTCATAATCTCAAGATTGTGGACTATGGATTAGGGTACACGGGCAGCACTCATGACTCTTCTGCCTTCCAAGATACTCTGATGTCGCATGACCATGAAGCCTTTCTGGAAAAAGATGAATGGATGTGGGCCGACTCTGCATATCCTATTACACCATGGTGTGTTGCACCATTCAGGCACCAGGTCGTGGCCTCACTGTGAGGCAGTCTCAGTTCAACTACCAATTGTCACGCATTCGTATACAATGTGAACATGCCATTGGACTTCTCAAGATTCGATTCCAGTCTCTCAAAGAATTACGCATCCAGATTGACTCAGTAAACAAGATAGACTCTGTTATTATCTGGATCCGTTGTTGTATCATTCTGCACAACCTCATTATTGAACATGAAGGCAAGGAATCAGGGGTTATCATTCCTAGAGAATGGCAACAGGCAATCGAAGGAGAAGTGGATGATAATGGGGAGGAAATTGATGCAGATGTGGATGATTCAAATCAACAAGGTCCTTTACCCCAGAATCCAACTCAGACACTTCGTGAAAGGCTTTTTGATTCCCTCTTTAGTAGCGACTTATACTGATCTTATTTCATGTATGATACACTCAGACAATATTACAGTATGCATTGTTCATCAGTACATAACAACGTAACAGCATAACAACATATTCAAACGGAAGTAACATCACAACAGCGTCTAAAACGGCAGAAAAAAAAACATAAAAGTGGAAAAAATGAAACGGCAGAAAAAATGAAACGGCAGGGAAAAAATCATATACAGGCATATGAAAACACAGACAGCAGATAGTACATGAATCAAGGCAGTAATAAACAACGAAAACAAAATGTACTTCAGATCACAGTACGATCAGGCCCCATCCTCGTCCTCCACAATTCTATCGCCGTCTTCATTCCTGTCACCGTATAAATCGCCGTCTTCGTCAAACGAGTTGTGGGGGGGCATTGTGGGATTGGCGAAGTCAGTAGATTGGAGGACAGATGTCATGGTAGACATGAAGTCTTCACCTCCTCGCTTAGCATTTGGGATAGGCCGACAGTGAAGTCGGATGTTCCGAGTGCGTTGGAGGTGGGACCTGGAGCGGCGATGGAGCTGGAGCTGGAGCTGGCGTTGAAAGAAGGGCCAGATGCGGACAAATGGGGGGGGGGAGGTCCTCCAGTCAGGCTCATCCGGTAGCGAAGTTCCATTGTGCGTTGTTCGTGAACTGCCCGCTTCAATCGCATCTCCTCGACCCTCTCATTACTCCCTTGGGCGTTTTGTTCGCGCACCATCTGCAGCTTCGCTAGCTCAAAGAGCGCGGCTGTAAGTTCGGCCCTGGCATCCTTGGCCGTCTTCAAATTCTTGCCCTGTGCAAGCGTTGTTGAATGTGCGTATTTCGCCCGCTTCAGGTCAGCTTCAGCCTTGATTCCATCACTCTCTGCCTGGAGAACAGGCTCCATCAACGCCTTCAAGCGGTCGCCCTCGGATTCGCGCTTCTTGCCCTTCGTTTGCTTCGGCTCAGCCTTCTTCTTGGGCTCCGGATCCTCTAATTCAATGACGTCGCGGCTACGTTTTGCCCGGGTTGAAGTGGGAGTAGTGGGACGAGGCAGGTGAACGGGTCGAGCAGGTGAACGTCCGCGAGCAGGCGACTGCCCCCGACCCAAAGAACCCCCCCCACTGAGCTGGCGCTGATGGCCAGTAACCGAGATGGGGGGACGGGTGATAGAAGCGGGAGGAATGGGGGCGACAGACCGAACCGCAGGCTGGATAGTGAGGGGTCAGATGGGTTGAAGTCCAGGGAAGCCATATACGGGGTTGTGCTGGTGATTTGCCCGTAGCGCTGCTGGGGCTGCAGAGTAGGGGAGGGCAAGCTGGAGAGCGAAGGATTCGACCTAGATAGAATTTGCTGGGAGGGATTGCCGTACTGCGCATACACAGCCGCCTGCTGCTGCTGATACGGCGGCTGCTGCTGGTGCTGGTGCTGGTGCTGGTGCTGGTACGGCTGGTACAGCTGCTGCTGCTGCTGCTGCTGAGATGGCTGGTACGGCGCCTGGTGCTGCTGCTGCTGCTGCTGAGACGGCTGGTACGGCGCCTGGTGCTGAGACGGCTGGTACAGTGCCTGGTGCTGGGACGGCTGCTGCTGATAGCTGCTGCCGTCACCGCCATCCTGCTCGTGTTCGACCAAATCCCACCCGCCGCCCTGGAAATGTGAGTTCATGCCGCGCTGGAAAGCTTCATCATCACCCCTCATTGGAAACAGAACCGCCATAGCCTTCCCTGAGAGGTCCTGACCATGCGCTGATGTTGCCGGCTTCGCATCATACTTCGGCGATGCACGCCAGAAGGTGCTGAGGCGGTCCCACCACGGGAATTTAGCACGAACTCGTTCTTTTAAAATCAGCAATCAAATCTAAGTATAAAATAAAATAAAATAAAAAACTCACTGATCGGACTGTCGTACAGGGCATCGGACGGATCCCCCGCCACAAGGCCACTATTCGTGGATCCTAAATCCCGCAGATGGCTTCGATATGTCTTGCTGAGGCTGATAGTGTCGATGTAGTGTCAATAAATAATAAATAAACGGTGAAATAAATACCTGGCAAGACGATGCTGCACTGACTCACCAAATCGTTGGCGATAGTGATCAACCACGATACGCAAGTTCACATTGGAATCATTCTTGAAAACGTGTCTAGCGATCCTTCTATGTAAAGAGGCCTTTGTATGTTTAGTAGATCTTGAGGCATCCCGATTCTCTTCTTTGGCGACTGCAGTAGAATCTGAAAATAAAACATATCTACGTTTAGGATGTTTCTCAAGCCAGTCTACCAATCGATCTGTTCTTGGATTGGACCAATTAATCTGCGCAGGTTTGGGAATATTACCTTGGTTTTGAAGAGTCCGTAGTGATGCCGTTTGACAACTTGTATCGGTCGGAATGTAACGGCTCGGACTGTCAGCTGAGGGATTGTCAGAGGAGGTATCGTCGTCAGAGTTTTGTGAGGCCATTGGACTACGCGTAGCTTAGGAGGGGGGGGGGGGCAGGCCAAGGCATGGCAAACGGCCGTGTTTGCAGGAAGTAAGGTTGAAGCGCCGAATTCTATCGGAAGACTTGCCGTGTAGTTTATTTCTCGATTTATCTTGGATTTCTCAAAAAATATTATTCGGTGATTTCCAGGTATGAGCCTTCGGTTACTTGCCCCGCGTTCCATAACTGATGACGTGGCCAGCTTAAAGCCAGAGTTCCCGAACTTCAGGCTTAAGCGGTCCCTTACGAAACGCACCTTGAACGAGGCTATTGTACTAAGCTAGGCTTGAATTGTTTGGTAAACCTTTCACCAAGCGCTAATCGGGCTTATTACTGATATATGACCAACGTTTTTCGTCAAACATGACTGAAGCGTGAGTCAAATTTAGCGGTGTACCCCGCTCTCTCTAAATCAGTCCTAACGTAAGTGCCCGCGTGTTATGCGCAATATCCAAGGACTTAGGTAAAGCATCATTATTCAGTATCAAATACTCATCCATAGCTCACACTGGCAGGTTGCTATTATGCCTCGCAGCAGTTTCAAATTCCAGTAATCCCAAATTTGAAGTCAGTTAAACTGTCCTGAGACTAGATTGTAGGTCTGACCGACCGCGCTATACATAGCACTTTGTCATGGTCATGGTTTCTTAAATAAGGACTAGATTATGAAAGGTGTTACTACTAGGCCATCTCACAATGCGTCACGGTTAACACCATATGTATATTTGGGAGAACTAGTGCGAAACTCGATCAGCGAATTCCTTTTTTAGTTCAGCGATTACTCTAGAGATAACCATTTACTTTGTTTATACAATAACAATTTCAGGGGCCTTCGAAATTTATAACCATCAGTTCAAACGTGCAAGGGAAAAACAGGCAACTTTTTGGCAGCTTTTCGAATTTCTTCCGCGTATTCAAACATCACAGGCGCTCCGAATACCGGTAGTGGATCCTAGAGCGAATCGTATTGAAGGAAAAATTCCAAGAATGATGAAACGAGTCGCAGTAGAGAACCTGTCGTTTTTCGAGATATCATCGCCATCACACCTTGATAGGTTTAAAAGGCCAATACCTTCCAATACTACGTTTCGCCAACGGAGGCATCCTGCGCTTTTCACATCTGCAACATGTTCACTTACTTCAAGTTCCTTGTCATCGGTGCCGCTGCGCTCAGTAGTGTCCGCGCTGAGACACACACCATTACTTTCAACAATAAGCAAGTCTAATTTTTTCTTTTGTCGATGTTCTTGAATTAATATCTTCTTTAGATGTGGACATGGAACTGTGCGATGTTCAGACCGTAGATAAAGGTGTTAAACTAGCTAACTCTAATGTCCGATAGCCAACTTTAGTCCAGAACGGCAACATTTTGTCGACTGGGGGGGCATACACGTCGAACGGTCCCTTCGTGTCTGCAATCGCGTAAGTTCAACTCGTGGATCATATGTCCTATATTAATGTGACTTTGTTGTGGTGATTTTCAGCTACCTGCAAACAGGTTCGCAACATCTCAGAATTGGGTCTCCTTTTTAACAAAGAACCTTTTGATCAGGGTCGTGTGGGCTCAATGGTGAATCTTGTACTCTAATTGAGACCACTCTTCAAAACCCTACCACCCCTGGTAGCGGATCTAGCACGGACATAAGCTTGATTCCCCCGTGAGCCGCGAAGTCTTATTCTTAGTGTCCGATTATGGTATCTAATTTTTATTACTCACTTAGTCACTCGTTCTCGGTGACGTCTGGCTTTGGGTGAGGCGTTTGTAATGTCCTTCAGTAGACGTATTGACCTTCTCCATAAGGTATTACAATGGATGCGACGGAGCTGGAGCGGACTGTCAGTCTCTTCGATTGCTTTTCTTTTTACTTCCGACTAATTTTCGGTCCGCTATTAGGCAACAATGCAAACTGTCCAGATGCCTTCCATACCTCTGACCAAACCACAGTTCAAGTGGCCTGCCAAGTTGATAATGTGAGTTTTGCAGGGCGTTTTTGTCATTGTCTTGGTTTTGATTACTGATCCAACATGCAGGTGGATCTGTCCATCACATTCTGTGATTAATGAGTTTCTCCACTGACTGAAATAAGGTCGTACGTTATTTGAATGGATATTGTACGACATGCGAATATATGTGCGAGAAATGATAGTACTGGACCAGCGACTAACATTCGTTTCAAACCCCAAGCTCAGTGGGCGCCCACCCCTGGCATAGCAACCACCCGTTCACGAGTCAGCAGAGAACTGCCACTGAGAAGAGTCGATCACCTCTCGTAGACAGCGTTGCATATGGGACTCATAACAGTTAAGTAAAGAACGTAAATGTCGCATCTCTGATGAGAACGGTGCTCGTGTAGAAATTTTAGAGTGAATGTGTTATATTGATCTAACTTTTCAGTGATACCCAAGCTACCAGCATGCCAACAAGGGTCATAGAACCCCATTTTCTAAGTGATATCGGCCAACTTGAATCCATCTCTAAGGTTGTGAACATACGTCCCTGAGTGGTCGGTGAAGAAAGCTGTGAACCGTTGGTAGATGGAATGCGAGAGTCTATCATGGTGTCTCCAGGTTTGACAGAAGGGGACTGCATTCCAGGGTATGCATCTTCTGGAGGGAAAATCTCTGCCTGCGATACGCCTCCAAAGAAGTCGGTGATCAGGGCTTTGTCGAGTGTCCTGTGAAACAGATCGGCACGGACACCTGGGTGAGAGTGTATTTTACTCGGATCATACGATGCGAACTAACAAGAGTTTTAAGAGTATGGGTTACAATCAAGGGCGTAGAAACTCACTAAGTCGTGCATGGTTGTCTGACTGGTTTTGTTAATCCCTTCCATAAATTGAAGGATATAATGTGTATAACTATCGATGACAGCAACTCCAATGTCGTTGTCATTTTCATACTTTGGCGCAGATGGTAAGGTATATTGATATTGCGCAAGTTAATACACTCACGGAGTACGAGTTCTCGCCTATTTCGGATGATCCTGTAGCCAGAATATTGGGAGAGTAAAACTGAGAATACATGGTGTTTGCCTGACATGTGTCTATCATGAAAAAAATCTCATTGTATCTGCTTAACTGTAAGTCTTACGCTTGAGAGGCTCTATAGTGTAACACACCGCTTCTTTTGCCACATCTGTTCGAAAGCATCAGCGATGTCAAAAGCGCTAATTTCCTCATTGTCTTGGAACTTGAGGAACTCGTTGCCCCCATGGCCGGTCATGTAGACGAATATATTGGACCTATCGTCGGTTAGTAGTCGCTTGGAGCGTGGCACAGAGGCATCCATCCGACCTAGTGCAGGACTGTTTATTAATATTTTGAAGGCTGCTAAAAAAAACCAGCACGACGTACCAGTCAAGACCCGGATGAAGTTCTCGACGGTCACCTCGTATCCGCGGTAGTCGACTTCGATGTTGTCCCCATAAAGATCAAGATTTCTGCCCGAGTTGGCGTATACACTTCCAGGAAACTTATTGCGCGTATTGCAGGCTACGTCGTCCGCTAGCATTAGGATGATGTTTGAGTCGGGTATCCCAAGACGCTTCACGGTACGATACCTAACGAAGGATATGATGAAAACCCTGGCGAGCGACATATGAAAGAACACCTTACATGCCGAGAGCATTGGCCATATGCTTCAAAGGATCAGTTGTCTATATATCATGGTCCTTACATGCATCCAAATTACTTACTCGATAGTTGAACCAATACCGAGATGCACAGACCAAGACCGCCCAGTTATTCGTGTGCCCAGAGGTGCCATCGTGCCGACCAAAGAATTCGCGCACCTTACCATCTTGTGATGCATTTGTAGCTACTGTAGTGAGTATCCAGCTTGTGAGGCATAAGAATGAAAGGTATGTAGGAAAGAGCATTCAATTCGAAGGTGCTGGTCTGCAGTGGAAAGAACGGCACCTCATCCGGCATCTCGAAATCCACGACCAATAGGAACGGAGTTTGAATTACACTTGACTGGAACGTTGACGATGCAGGGTGAGCCGAACAGTCTTCGTCGTCGTGTTGCACAGCGAGCTCATCAGTATCATTGAATCATTAAAAAAGGACTCGTCGCATATGGTGACGACTCGGATAGCGATTCAGATATGAAAATTTCCTCAACATCACCGTCCAGACCTGTCTCTGTGAAGGACAATACCCATGTAAGAGTCTTTACGTTGCAACCTGCTATAGCCGTTTCCCTCTTTGTTGGCTGTCCTTTCTGTCTGGGTTAGGATAAATCGTCGAAAGCACATCTCACTTCGTCTGCAGATGGTAATCATACTATTTACATTTTTTTAAATGATGCATTGACATAGTACTCGCTTCAGTTGGGCTTTTACCGAAATCACAAGTCATCATACGCCGCCCCGCAAACCTGAAGTCTCATCCTCGTGCTCATGTCTCAACCGATATCATGGGTGGTCCTAGTGTAAACGTCAACGCCCCGACACAAACCGTACAAGTACCAGTCGACCTAAATCAGGCCGGACCATCCACCGAACCGTCAGACGAGCTCGTTCGAACTCGGGCACTATTGCGACCTCCACCGATTCCTGGTTTACTCGACTGGGGAATACCTTCAGAATCAAAGACACCTTGTGATGTCACTATTGAGGTGCAGTAATTCTGTCAGTATCTCCTGACATTGATTCATTAATAAGATCCGTAGGCAAAACTCGCTCAATTTCACGCTCTTAAACGTGATCCCACAAATCCAAAGCACTTCAATGATTCCCTCATGTCCAATCGCTCCTTCCATAATCCTCACCTGTATGCTAAGCTTGTCGAGTATGTTGACGTCAATGAGCGTACAACGAACTTTCCCAAAGATACTTGGGATCCAAATGACGTCGAGCCCGAATGGTTTGCCAATAGCATCGGTAAGTGATTTCGCGTTCTCAGTATCGTGGGCCCTTGTTCATACTATCTTCCACTACGTTCTCTCCGACTGTGCGGATATTCTCCGCCGCATCCGTTCACCAAATTCGGCGTATCATTGAACACGTCCTCGTTCGATCGTGTACTTGTACCTACCCACAAAGCTGAGGTTCAGAAAGCTCGCTCCGAGAAGGCTTCTACATCAGAGGGAAAACGCTCGCAAATTGACTTTACATCTTCGAAAGCATCATCTTCCAGTCGAGCCCCAGGCAAGGATAGGGGAGGTCGTGGCCGAGGTCGGTTTCATCCCTACTCCAGCTCTCATTCTGAGGCGCAGAAAAGTCGGTGGGGATAGATTATGCCATTGCACCTTGATTAGTGTTTGTTTTTGCCGTAATGTTTTTTATATATCGATTTTTGCTTGTGCATCGTGGAAGCGTATGGCTTACATATATGTACTTGCTGAAAGGTACTCTTAATAAGATGTTGAGCGTCTGCGAGAGCTCAATCGAAATCCTCTCAAGTATTTGTATAAAAGTGTAAATATGATAAACGCTAAAGACACTAGTTTGCGAGTCCAACTGAATATTATCCGGAAATGTAGGCGTGAATGAGTTCACTAAAATTCCGTGATTGTCCTACTCCATGGGGTATAATCATCACATACAATACATCCTGCTCATCACACATCTCACTTCCAGGCTTGCACTAGCGTTTTACGCCAAGGTCGGGGAAGTAAGGCCATACAATGCGAATCGCTGGTTGGTCCGTACAGCACTTCAAAGTATCGTATATCGCCCTAAAATGGTAGAGATAGCACAAAGAACAAGAGTCAGAGTGGACATAAACGGAGAAGTGGATTCTATGAGATTTAGCACTCACATATGCGTACTTCACGATCTCCGCTCCCAGAAGCGAGCAACTGGCCATCGTGACTAAAATCAACAGTAGTCACTGTTAAAACAAATCATGTTTAGATGCCAGATATGCGTATTAGGAGATGGGAGTTGTGAAAAGGGGCCTTGTGGTTCGGCGGAAGATCCTTACCTGTATCACGATGCCCGACTACCCCAAACATAGGTTCGCCCTTCCGCAAATCCCATACTCTGACACTCCCATCACGCGATCCAGAAGCGAGTCGTAGTTCGCGGCCTGAGGATGTGCACGAAAGAGCGAGTATAGAATCCTAATATTTGTGCAGGAGACGAACAATCCAACCAACGAATGAATATGAGTGATGAGCTAGGAAGCAAGATGCAAGCAAACGAACTTTATGTCCTATTAAGGTCTTCACGCACTCTCCCTCACCTCTGCCTTCGGTTCGTACATCCCAAACTTTCAGCGTTCTATCCAAACTGGCACTCACTATCCCGAAGTCCGCGCTGTAAGATGATGTCGAGATAAAGAGAACGCCATAAATGCTGTCCGTGTGACCTTTTAGGTGTAAGGAGGGAGTTACATTCGAGGACAAGGACTCTCCATCATTATTATGGGTGGGTGGGACCTGAGAGACTGACAGATCCCACACCCTGACTATCCCGTCAAGAGACCCGGCCACGACGTACCGTTCAGAAGAGTCGATGGCAACGGACGTGAACGCGATCTTGGAACCATCGACTGAGTCGCTGTCTGAGGCGAAGCCGGCATTGGAGTCAGATTGGGACAGCGAGTGCTGAAGATTGTATTTCTTGACCACCTTTGTTTCGTCGCCATCTCGAACGATACTCCAAATTTTGATTGTCCGGTCTCCTGACGCGGACGCGAGGATGGAACCACTTGCTGAGAAAGACAGAGCGTAGACTTCGGAAGTGTGTGCAGCGAGGGTATGGATGTGGGTCATATTAAATGAAACAATGGAGAAGACCTGATATGAGTGGGAGTTAGTAGATGCAGAAAGTATAACTACAAGAATGAACAAGTGAATAAATGAAAATCAAACCATGAAGATCGACTTTTAGTATCGTCTCATCGCGTTGGAAAAATGTGAAGCATTGATATGAAAAGGGAAAGAGGCCCAATGAAAGAAAGCCAGCACGCTGAATTTGTAGATATGGAAGAGAGACGAACCCTAATTAGATTGTCCTCAGTACCAGCGACTAGGAGTGTTCCGTCAGGACTGATAGTGACGGCACGAACGTGGTTGGGTTTAGATCGAGAGTCACACTCGGCAGATTCAAATGGGCACCTGGAGGAGGATGGGCAGAATTACCATATAAAAAGGACAAGAAAAACGTTGAAATTAAGCAGGAAGGCAAAGACAGAGCACACTACGCACGTAATCTTAGCCCCATTCACAAGATCGTATAACAATACGACACCATCAGAGCCCACAGCGAGAAGGGAACCATCAGCGGAGAATTTGACACTGCATATCACACTGATGATAAATAATGCAAGACAGAGGTAGATGGAGTTAGGTATCAGAGCAATTAAAGACAAATCGACGCGTACCCATCGTGCACGAACCGCGCGGCGAGCTGGACGTCCATCTGGCGAGGTACACGAGGATTGAATATGGCCAGCCAGTCTGTAGATTCCTTTGTGAACTCTGGGGGGACACTTTGTGGATCGAGGGGGTCAAAGGAAGCCATGTTGAGCTGGATGTTGCTATAATACTTTGTGATGGTGGTACAGAAGAGAATGGTCCCATATTTCAAAAACCTGCCACGGTATCCTTATATGCATTCCTAGCTTGGCTCGATATGATAGACGCGATTGGCGACGCATTCTAGACTCTCTTTAAGTACTTATGAGATTGACAGTTGTGTTATAGATGGGTGGAGACAAGAAGCTGGGATAATTATAAGCGTGTTCTTGTGTGTATGACCACTCCACACGTACTCCATCGCCAGCTGGGCTACTTCCAGAAAGAAAGCACTTGGTGTAAAATATCTTTGATCAATTTTCATAGAAACTGAGATCTGCAACTATTTGGCCTCATTTGGGCCTCGCTTATGCGCACTCCAAGCTCTAACTTGGTCTACTACAATGTCAAACTTTTATCTTTCACTGAATAAAACGCATTTACTCTTTGTACCGACTTCATCGATACTCCTAGGCCCCACTGGCATCGTCAGCGAAACACGAATATATCAAGACCCCTTGGCGAGTACGACGACAGTGTCCCCACCTGGACTCGTCGTCCAAATTTCCTTACGAACCAAGGCTCGAAGTGACCCGGGCACCAAAGGTCGCATATATCAGGATTCTATAGACGTTCTTGCAGCCTATTTCCTTGCTCAAAAGGATATTACGGTCTGTCATCTTTACTTTTTGCGAGTGAAGCGAGACGGACGGTGTATTATCCAGACTGATTTTATGCTAATTGCCATGAATCTTTTTTATAAAATACTGTTGACAGGACGCAATCCAGCTCATCGTCGTCGCTCATCTCCGTTCAGCGTCGCGTTTGGCGTCTTTGCTGCCTGCTACCGTAATGATGGATGCCCCTGGGCTTGGTTACACGCTCACGGGATGTAAGTATGACCTGCCTGACACGGTTTACCACATAGTGCCATTCGACTCTCTGAACTGCGCTTCTGACTGTTGGTTTGCAGACAGAAAAGAGTGGAAGTATGGCCACGACAAGGTGTTCACCTGGGGCTCGGAACAGCTGGCACCAGCGCACGATAAATGGATTTTTGTCTTCGATGCAGGAGATGGACGGTAGAACGACGAGATCATCGATTAAGGTTGGAATGGATGTATTCGTATTCGAATCCTTTGAATGTTGTATCATCGTTTTCGTGACATGTCCACTGTGACACGGATTTGTAATTGGTATGTTAAGTCCGCAACATAGCGGACCGCACCTGCCTCATCCGGTCCGGATCCGCCCGCGCTGGCCCGGGATGATCGTCTCGAGTCGAATACAGGATCCGGGGTGGGCATAAGTGGTAGAGGACACTATAAATACGGGCGAACTCATCCACTCTCTGGTCACAACGAAGTCGTATCACTTGACCTTTCCTCTACCATCGCTAAATCTTATCATCAAGCCTTGCGGTACTCCGTGTCTACAATTAACTCTTGTCTTAGCTCGTGTGCTTATCTTCTCTGCTTCACGTTGGCTATATTATTGACCCGAATACCTTCGTTTTGTTAGCCATCGCACTCGAGCCATTCTGTCTCATCAAATGACTGGCGCAAAGATTACACATTTTGAAACCCATGGTGAGCTCACCCCTTTCCTTTTGTCTCCCCATGGCTCTTGCTGCGTCTCCGTCCATTCCCAAGTAGGTCATGCAGCATGACCGTGAATCGAGAAATATGTATCAGGAAATGAAGCCAGCTATGCTTTGGTTATTGCCAGTGCATATAAGCTGAGCCTTCGTCTAGTCCATGACCTTTGTTGTCTTCGTCTTGTGGCTAACTCTATATGTATATACAGACGTGCGATTCCCGACGTCACTCTCAGGCGATGGAACTGATGCTATGTTAGTTATTCTCTTCTCACTGCTACGACGTACTGTTAACTTTTCTCTTTTCTCTTTTCTTCATGGATCTACTAAATCAGGAACACGGACTGTGACTACTCTTCCGCTTATATCACGCTCTATACTTCCTCGTCCCTCGTCGGGCATGGCATGACATTCACTATCGGACGCGGAAATGAAATAGTGAGTAGATTCAACCCTCTATTTTGTTGTGCCCTCATTCACACGTTGTTTTATCATCTCTATCAAAATTCATCTCAAAACCACTACTTTCCTCATTTAAGGTGTGCCAAGCAATCAAAGAGGTCGCGTCTCGCCTTGTTGGACGTGATACCGAACAGCTATTCGCGAATATGGGTGCAGCCTGGGACCATTTACTGGCTGATCCTCAGCTGAGATGGTACGTCTGTTTCCGCATCTCGAGCGTCCTTTTATGCTCTAGAGCCTTGATTTACGAGCCGTATCTATACATCTATACTCCTATGCACGAACGATGCCCATCGTGTTATGTGTTCAGCCTTTGACAACGCTTTTCACACGGATGTGTATTTGGTAGTTCATCCATCTCGCTCGATGTTTCTCGGGCTTTCTCAATCTTTCAGTGTGGCGACGACATTCTACATCATGGATGCTGAAAATGTATACACAGGATTGGCCCCGAAAAAGGAGTAATCCATATCGCCACTGGTGCTGTCAATAACGCCCTCTGGGACATGTACGCACGTGCACGAAGTAAGCCCCTCTGGAAGTTGGTAGTAGATATGTCACCCGTCAGTTCCCTCCTTACCATTAGATTTCCTGCCCCTAGTTTATGTTGTACTTTTATACTCTGTTCTTTGTTTTTCGTCGGAAACGTTAGCTGACCCCATTTTGACCTGAATAACAGGAAGAACTTGTTAGCGCTACCGCCTTCCGTTATATTACCGATGCAATCACGCGCGAAGAAGCTCTCGCGATGCTCAAAGAGAAGGAGGCCGGGAAGAAGGACAGGGAGGCTAAAGTTAAAGAGCTGGGGTAAGCAGAACAGTAATTATATCATCTTTCTCTGCTCATTAACGTCTCGTCGGGCACAGATATCCCGCATACGTGACTTCTGCTGGATGGCTTGGTGAGTACTCTTTTTTTTACACTCACATATTACTGCTGTTGATGCAACTTGTTTTATTCTAGGCTATAGCGACGAAAAGGTCGCCCGTCTCACTAAAGAAGCTGTCTCAGCAGGGTTCAATCATTTCAAAATGAAAGTCGGTTCAAACGCTGCCTCCGACCTCCGTCGGGGCAAGATCATTCGCTCCATCATCGACGACCCCCAGTATCTCCCACCGGGTTCTTCTGGGCACTTGGGGCCTAGTGTCGAAGGCAAGAATGCAGGGCCAACCGGAGCTGTACTCATGATAGATGCGAACCAAGTCTGGGATGTGCCCCAAGCTATCGAGTACGTGAAGAGTCTGGAAGAAATTAAGCCATGGTAGGTCGACCTTCTTTTCCTTGGTCTGACATCCATTACAACTACAATCTTCTGCACAGGTTCATTGAAGAACCTACAGCACCCGATGATATCCTGGGACATGCCGCGATCCGGAGCGCACTCAAACCACACGGGATCGGCGTTGCGACAGGCGAGCACGCGCATAATCGCATGATATTCAAACAGCTCCTCCAAGCACAAGCGATTGACGTCTGTCAAATCGACTCTTGCCGTCTGGCTGGCGTGAGCGAGGTCCTGAGTGTTCTCTTGATGGCTGCGAAGTGAGCTTTTCTTGTGGTCCAGACTTCTATTACGGCGCCTACTTGATTTGCATGTCAATGTCGTACGCTGAAACTCGTTGCTAGGTTTGGCGTTCCTGTTTGTCCACATGCAGGCGGTGTTGGGCTTTGTGAATATGTCATCCATCTCAGGTACGTAACGCTCACTCGTCCTTCTCTTGGTTATCCAATCAAGCGACGTCTTACAGTCTGATTGATTATATTGCTGTCTCTGGCACGATGGAGCGTAATGTTCTTGAGTTCGTCGATCACTTACACGAACACTTCCTCTACCCATGTTCGATCAACTCTCGTGGAAGATATAACGTGCCGACAAATGCTGCGGAGGGATACAGGTGCGCTTTGATCGATTTCCTTCCTGAACCGTGGCTCTGACAGGTGGCATCTTGACATATTGATGCCCGTACCGTAATCAACCCACAGTATCGAAATGCATAAGAACAGCATCGCTGAATATGAATGGCCGAATGGCTCATATTGGGTGGAGGCAAAGGGCACAAAGTGATTCTGCAGGGTATATATATAAACACATATTCGAGGCGTAGGGAAGGATTAACTTTATAGATTATTTGCACTCGTTTCTACCTATCTTCTATACGTGCTCGTTCGTCGAAATTGCAGACAAAGAATGTATTTGTATTTTTATTCTAGTCTGACATGAAAGAGTCGTTTTATGGGCAGCAACTTGATCTTGATACATGTGGTAATTACGGCTCTAATTCTACAGGGTTTTGTACGCTACTATGAAAAGATCACAAGTAATCTAGCGTAGAACAGTGTCACCGAAGATAACCACATTAAATGTATACTATTTTAGAGGTAATCAAATCGTATGAGAAGGAGACTGAACCAGCTCTTCTATTCATTAAATAGTTATATCCGCTAACGTGGCAGTATGTCGTCGGGTTCCCGCGCGTTCAATGAATCGGGGGTTACCTATGCAAGTATGAGCTCTGCGGAGTCAATTCTGGCGTGTGTACCAGTCCGGCTCACACTGGTATGCGAGGGACCTCAATGATCCCTGTCCATGTTTCCTCATTATCAACTCCAGATTGCGTTGCTTCAGGACCGACGCCAGGCCGTGACTGCCGATGTGAACCATTGCAATGCTCTAGCGGCACATTATGCGGCCAGTGATAAGTCTCGTCGTCATCGGTCCTACTTCCAAACGTGAGCTGAGAAAATATCGATGTTATCGTGAGCCTGTTAGGGCCTAGCGTCGATAATCTTGTCATATCACGAAGGTTGAACAGAACGTGCGACGATAGTACACTATGCATAGCTAGCTGAAACCTTTGTTGATGCAAAGGGTGGAAGTGAGCTTGACTGGCTATAACTGCAAGAGTGTACGTACGTGTCAAGCAACCCGCTATACTCGGACTGAGACAAACTTTGGCTAAACCTAGCGCTACGCAATTCAAGAAATGACGTACTGGCGCAACGACGAAAACGAGGACGTTGACGGTAGAGAGGCCTGTTTTTCTCTGTGTCAGTTGTGATATTTGGTGGATACAATGAGAACTTACAAGCCAGACACACAATGTAGGAGATGCCGTCTTGATAGACTGTGTTTAGTAGCTGATGACGGCTAGAGCGGTGATGGCGGAAGTACTGGTATATCGTTAAAGACATTATGACTGGTTGCATTGCTCGTTGTGAACCAAGCTTGTATACTAGATAAATGAAATTGACTGACTGAGCTCGAAGACCAGCAGCATGCCGTAGTTGATCCCGAAGATCCTACTCCCTGCAGCTACAAAACAGCGTGGGGTCCTTTCAAAAGATGGAGCATCTACCCAACGTCAAGTAAATCCATCTGTTGTTCTCTCCAGACAGAAAGAACTTACATTGTATAGAACGCAGTTCATGGATTTCAATAAGTATAGTGGCAACCTCGGCAACCTAGAATCATCAGTTTTGTTAGCAGCTCCAGACTCATGATTCCACGTTAGACGCTCACAGAAATGTATAAGATGAATGCGATTAGCAGTTTCCTACTGCATTGGTACAATGCGTACGTTCGCAGTAATATTAGCCCTGTATGATAGCTCTAAATTATGGTGCGCGAAGACAGCGTCCACACTAACGAAATTGACATACCTTCCGCTGCCCAGATCCCAAACGTGTTTAGCCCTGAAACTCGTTTGAGTAGTAAAATGGAAAAAAGTTGATTCACCTCACATGATGCAGCATCATACCATGGCCGACACTGAGGTAATAAATAAGCGTCACCATTGCCTCGGGGGCAGAGAAAAACATACACTCGTCTCATGATATGGCATGAAAGTAACTGGAAGGGCCCGTTCGAACAAATCGAACATCAAAGTTCGAGAGAACTCACAGTAGAAATCCGTTAAGAGGCCAAGAAGAGGAATGTAGCGCGAACCAAAGAAGAATGTTTCTACAAGACCCCAGCTTCTAATCCATATGTGGCGTACCTAGGAATTGTAATGAACAGGCCAGAATTATCACAAAGTCACGGGATATACCTACCTCTTGATCAAATGTCAAGGAATAGTCAAAAATCTGGCGAGTGGATGTGAGAACACATTGGAAAACAAGGAATAACGGGATGCTCACCCAGATAGTAAAGCTGACAACTATAAGAGGAGCCCAACCGATTTTTTCAACACTATGATCAGCTTCAAAAAAACGTGCTAGTGGTGAAATCATACCTTTAAAGTACTATTTATGATAGGTTTCATGAATAGGTTTTAGCAGATGTTGTTAGAAGATTAAAGGAATAACGATACCTTGACTGTCTGCAAATAAGAAACGACTGAGGCTACATTGATCATCTGGTAAAGGTCCGCAGGCAGTGAGTCCAGAGGATGAACGTCCAATGGACAATTCGAAGGCTTACCTGCATTTATAGCACGTTGCCAAATTGACGTACGCTCGCTTGGTAGTCGGGAGGTTTCCGGTGCAGATATCATTGCGAACTTGTTCTGATTTGGTATCACATGCTCCAGATCTAAATTTTACCATCGAGTTAACGTACAGCTGGTAAAATGAATAGCAGCCTTCGCTCATTGGAGCGCTCAACTCGAATGGATAAGAAGAACCCACCAGAAAAGATCTTGGGTAAGCATATTCGCGGCTCGTCACTTTGGTGATCTGGATGGTGAACCTGAGCCTGACAGAACTTTCCAGGGATGACAGGAGACCCGTCAAGAAACAAGGCTGCTACCAGTGGATCAGATGCATCATACGTAACGCGTAAGGCATCGATGGCTCGTGGTACTATCATGCCAGTGGAAATAAACCGAATGCAGCTGGGACCGGGTAATTTAATTCATTTGGAGGAACCCCCGTTCGGTAGTAATAAGGAGGCCCATCATTGACCGTGTGTATAATGCAGCAATACGAGAATGTACACCTTGATCTAATAGAGAGACTCCGAAACAGTTCGAAGAGTCCAAGATTACAAGTCACGTGAAGCCGTTTGCGTAACAGCCCAATGTAGAAGCCTGCTGGTAAATTGTGAAATCATACACACTTGAATCACAAGTCTAAATCTACTAAATATACCATGGCCCTCCGGGGCAGACCTGGACCCGACATCTCACATTGTACAGTGCATTATTTGGGATACATTGCTTCATTATCACTGGTACATTAACACTAGGTCAAACTTTAGTAAGGTTAGTGGAAGCCCACTATGGCGGTGGACAACACTTAAAAGGGGAAACAAAGAATTGGAATCAAGATGTGATTTAAGGTGGGGAGAAACTAGTCTACTGTACCATATGTTGAGCAACAGGTTATATATGTGTAGTATAGTATTCCAACTGGCCATGATGATGCCATAATCAGTATGATGTCATGCTCCTTTGTGAGCGACGCTTACACGCTCCCCGGCTGAGTTTTGTTTTTGAGATTGTTTGAGCAAGAACCAGTCGTCAAGTGCTTGACAGTCCTCAAGGTCGGATCTTTTAAGCCATTCATTGTGTTTGGGAGGGTATTTTAACCATTGTATGAGGAATTGAGAACTGCCACCAACTTTTCGCTCATCAATTATGTGCTCGATGAATGCTTCTTCTGTGAGGCAACATTAAACTAAAACAAAAACGATACCCATCTCCGACTGCACTTGCAGGGAGTAAGAGGTACAAGGAGTTTGAGGTCGACAGATGCTAGAGATTATAGCAAGTAGAGGACTTGGAGTAAACTCAATGGTTTCTGTTGAGGAGTAAAGCGGGTAATCCAAGTAATAGAAAGCTAAAGAACAATACATGGGTATGTAGAGTTTTTATAGCTATTTGTCTATCCCTCAGACCAAAATTAGAATAAAGGAAAAGTGGTCTGAGGAAGAAACTATCCAATAAGAAAAAATATTTTCCAGGCACTGATGGGGCTTGGAGCTGGTTGGCGAGATCTCAGCTACTAGTCCTTACCCATTGTGCTGGCTGGCTGGGAGTACTACCCAGTCTCTGATCTGCAATATGAAGTGGTAACAATGGTTAAGAAAGCCTGCGAGGGCTATGAGGAGTAGGATAGCAAAGGATACCTCTAGCCCTAGAGCCAGAGGTGTAACAGGGAAAGCGTCTGAGAGCCAAGACATGGAACAAAAAGATATGAAAATAAGAAAATGAAAATGGTCCTTACATCTTCTTGGCTATCTGCTGTGAGGACAGAGCCAGGACAAATGAAGACACGGGAGGGGAAGAGTGAATCATTGTTCGCAACGTGCAGTTCAAGTAGGGAGACGTGGAACATCGGGAAGAGTTTTGAGGACTCGGGGGAGATCTAGTGTGTAGTTGGAGTGTTGATGGTCAGCTATTAATACTTTATAAGGACTGTCATTGCAAGGCATGAGCTTAGCAACATGGCTGTCTTTTTTTCAAATGTAATAGCATCTTTGGTTGTGTGTGGACAACATAACAAGGTCACTGACATTGTAAGCCGGGTTGGGTGCACAGTGTTTATCTGCGGAGGTGGCTTGAGAAGTCTTGGCTGCCAGAAGATTGTCTTGGGCTTCAGCAACGTCAAGCTCCCATTTGGAAAGGAAGTTGGCAGTGTTGTGAGTGTCGGCGTTATGCTCATCAGGGAGAATGAAGGGAGGGAGCAGGCGGGGAAAGCGTCCAATGTGGAGGTGAAAGGGAGAGAACCCTGTGCTGGCATTAATAGAATTCATTAGATTGAAGAGTATGAGTGGGAGGGCTTTGACCCATCCTTGTTGATTACAAGCTACAAAATATTGTAAACACTGGTTGACTGTCTTATTTGTGCGTTCATTTGCACCATCCGTTTGAGGGTGATATGAGGTAGAAAGTTTCAATTTGATGCCGGTGAGAGTGTGAAGTGGGCACCAGAAACGTGATAGAAAGAGCTTGCCGCGGTCGTTGGAGACAATATTGAGAGGAAGCCCTTTTTTGCAATACCAGTGGCCAAAAAACAATTTTGCGAATTGTTTGGCGGAGATATTGTCTCTCCAGGGGACAAGGCATATGTTGGAGTTGAGCCTGTCTGTCATAGTGATTAGCATGTTGAAACCGGAATCGTCTGGAAAGGGGCCAATAAAATTGATGGTGACGGAGCCACCTCGACCATCGGGGATAGGGATAGGATGTAAGGGCCCAGGCAGTTTTGTCGTTTGGGATTTGTTGCACATGCATCCGGAGCAGGCTGGGATGTAAGCCTCTGTGGGATTGCATCTCATATTTGGCCAGTAATAAGACATGCGCAGATGGGCATACAATATGTTGGCACCAAAGTGCCCGAGCACATTATGAGCTAGATGAAAGAGATGCTCGTGAAGTTTATTGATACGAGGGACAACAAGGCAATCTTTGGTGAAGAGGAGTTCATTGCAGAGGGAGGCACCAGGGACGGAGTCCAAGTTGAGCTTTATCTTGAGGCAGAATGGGTCTGCTTGGTAACCGTCACAAATTTGATTAAGCAGGGAGGCATCAGGCATCACAGAAAGCACGGGAGCTACGATATGGGAAGCAGTCGTTGAGGAAGTTAGGAAATGGAAGAGACGGGAAAGGGCATTGGAAACTAGGTTGTCTTTGCCCTTGAGGTAAACAATGGTGAGGTTGTATTGTGCCATGTATTTGGCCCAGCGTGCTTGTCGTCGAGAAAAATTATGTTGTGTAGCAAAGTTTTCTAGTGTGCAATAGTCAGTGAAAATTGTGATAGATGCACTCCGGAGTTCCACCCTCCATTTCTTCAAGGCTCTGATGATGACAAGTAATTCCTTTTTGTGGACAGGGTAGTGCACTCCGGAGTTCCACCCTCCATTTCTTCAAGGCTCTGATGATGGCAAGTAATTCCTTTTTGTGGACAGGGTAGTTGAGTTTGGTGTCATGTAGATGGAATTGAAGGCTACAGAATGCACTGTTTATCAAGTTGTGCCCCATGGTAGTATAGTGCCAGTGCAACAATTGCTGGTGTCCGTAGTGAAGAAGATTTTGTTGTCTCCCAGGTTGTCGTGGTCAATGGTTGTGAGGCAGGAAGGGCTAGTTACCATGTTGTTGATAGCCTGGAAGTTGAGCTGATGTTCAGAAGTCCAAGGCGGGAATTTCTTGTCGGCTTCTTTGGTGGTGAGCTGGTTGAGGGCGACAGTGTGAGATGTGAGAGTAGGGAGATGACAAGATAGGTATTGTGCCAGGCCCAAAAATGCTCTAACGTCAGTAGCGGAATGGGGGGTGGGCCATTCAAGTAGGTGAGCAATTTTCTTCTTATCAGGTTCAATGCCAAATTGCAAGATGTAATGGCCAAGGAAGTCAATCTTGGTATTGAAAAGTGAGGTTTTCTTTGGGGAGCAGTATAAGGCCGCCGCTTGAAGGGCGTCAAGAATGGCAAAAATGTTGTGCGTGTGTTCTTTGACAGTTTGGGACTAGATGATTATGTTGTCGAGATATACATGGCAGATTTTGCCAAAAAGGTGTTGGAGGGCTGCGGACATGCAAAGTTGATAGACAGTAGGGGCATTCCGGACGCCTATGGGCAGGCATTATTGTCCATTCATAAAGACCAAAGGACTGCCAAATATTTGATGTTGTTGGGATGAACTTTAGTCTGGAAGAACAAATCAGTCATGTCCATTTTTCCAAATATTTTTCCTTTGGCACAGTCTCACAGGATGTCCTCAATGCAAGGAAGCGGGTGATTATCAGGATTTGTATTGAGGTTTAAGAGATGAAAATCATTGACCCAGCAAGAAAGTACGTTTGGGTCAGCTTTTGGAATGATAAAGGCAGGAGATGAGTGGGGACTTTCAGATGGGCAAATGTGACCATTTGCAATATGGAGATCAAGGAGAGTCTTCCAGGCCTCTCGGTATTTACGTGGGCAACTGTAGGAGCGAGTTTGAATAATCATCTGGGGATCCTTCAGATGTACGCAAAAGAGAACATTGGATGGTAGCGTGTTGTTGTGTGGGATATTGGCCGGGAAACTGTTACAATTGACGTACCAGTACCTACTTATGCTTCACTTTTCGTACTTTTACTTTGACTTTTTCCAAGTCACATGACCATTTACTTTACTTTACATTTTCGGACTTTTTATAAGTCACATGACCAATCATGTGACACATCACATGACCAGTGTCTGGGCTCACCATGTGACCGGTCACATGCTAAACATTGGACTTTAAACTTTATTTACAACTGTACAGTACCTCATGTATTTTAGTATATATACAGGAGCAATACATGGGGAAGGACTCAGCAAGTTCTCCTGTTGTCTACCAACAACTAACTTGTCAAAACCTAATGGGTAACCACTCCCACCTCTTCCTCTTCTTTTGAGTGTTGTTTCATTGTGCTCCAGTGCCCCAAGACTGTGTCTTGTTGGTGTTGTCACAGAAATGGTGTCGATGATGAGAACTGTTGTTAGAAAACCACACACAAAAACAAACAAACACACAATCCTCCCAGATTCCACGGAACTTGTTTATGGGCTTTGCCTCCTAGAACAGTGGAGTGGTCTGGTTGTTCGTGGGGTGGTACGTATAAAGATCCTTCAAAGTAAAACCCAGAGGTGTATGAGTGTGGGTTTTGAGGAGGATGGATAGTTGAATTTATATAAAGATAGGGGCTTTGTGGCGAGTATGGACGAGCACTACCTTGCTAATCGTAGCACAAGGTAGGTTTGAGAACAACGAGGATGACAAAGTGACAAGGTTCCCAGTGATAGCAGGCTCCTGACGCACAAACTGTAGTGCTCAGAAGGACTCTAATCGAAGGGGATGACAATCACTTTCAAAAAGTGACAAGTGACGATGACAGCAGTTGACAGTGGTAGCAGTGGGAAGTGTTGTGACCACACTAAATCACAAGTAGGAGAGTAGTGAACTTGAGATTAGAGAAGAAGTCTGGATTGGATTTCTTGTTCTTTTTACAAGGTAAAATACAGGGGTTTATATAGTGAAAGAAAAGTAGGCTATGCACAGTATAGCTGTGCAAAAAGAATGAGAAAGAACATGAAGGAAGGAATGTATGCTGACGAATCCTGCGTAGGTAGTACAGGATAAGATTGTCAAAAAAGGAAAAGAAAGAGATAGAACAATGAATGCTGTGAGTAATGTCACAGGTTTGTACAGCCATAAAGTAAAGTCCAATAGCAAAAAGAGAGCAGGAAAATCATGATGTCATGGGAAGATGCAGTAAAAAAAGGGCAAGGCAAAACACTATCACTATCAGTATCAACACAGTTCCTTTATTGTCAGTCAGGCATTCTAAAAAAATATGTGTCCATAAAAATGATTCGAAAATCAAAAATAATCGCACTGTAAATGAATGTTCTGCTGAAGAAAAAGAAACTGGAGCCACCGGTCCACCACCTAGTCCAAATCCGACAGTTCCATGGCCTTACCAATGGACTGGTTGTGTTGGACCACCTGATCAAACAAGGGAGGGAGAGGACTAGTTCCAATTTGGAACAAGTGAGTCCCAGGGAGCGTGTGGTAGGTGTAGCTGTAGCAAAGACGATGGACAAAAGATAAGTGTACCCAAGTGAATGGGACAGCGATGAACATGGGCGACGCAAGGGGATGAACCTTCTCCAGCTCAAAAACTACCCACCCACGCTCCAACCAGGCAAGACGAGCGACCGATGTTTTGATAGTATATGATGGCAGATCGACGTCATGAAGATGGACCTGTTGCCCTATTTGGACCGGCCGCCGGGGCTTTGCTGATATCAGCAGTGGCATGTGGTAGTCAACGGATCGGCAACGGAAGTGGATAGGAAGTGGTGACATCAGAAATGGTGGGGGTGCAAATAAGATGAGGAGGAGGAGGGTGGAGGTGACGGAAAAGTGGATTAGAATGGGGATCCAGAAACGACCGTCAGGTGAGAATAAAAAGGAGAGGAAGGGGCCCATGGTGGGGCTGGGCAAAGGAAGGGGAGTAAGGGAAACGACAAAAGCGAGGGCGCAATGCAATGTGTAGCCAGTGGCGACGCAAAAATTTGCCGAAATGCCGAAACATGGAAAGTACCGGATGGAAAAGCAAAGGTGAGCGTGACTGGATTGCCTAATAGAGGTGGTGCTGATCAGCCACAAGTTCAAAAAGGGCAATATTAATCACTATTCCACGTGGCACTGTGCCTGTGTGGCGCAAAGGCGAGTCTTTTGAATATTCACTTCATTATTGACACTTGTCCATGCTACCAATCAACTTTGGTGCATGACAGCGCCAGAGTAACTAACTCTTGGTTGTTGCATTAGGACTTGCTCTTCTACTCTCTTGCACGATTGTGCAAAAAGTCCCACTGGGCACCCGGACTCTAGGGTGAAGGAGATTTGGTTATTGGTTGGGAATATCCCACATAGCAGATAGGTGTGCTCCTAGCGACGGCCTTGTAGTGGTTTGGGAGAAGAACCAATACCTTCAATACGCGGCCCCCAGCGTTAAGGGGAGCACTTAGCTCAGCAGTCGGTGTGGAACCACTGTTGATTAGAATTTACATACAAAATTTCACTTTTTCTTTCCTCTGACCAGGCCGGGCACTTGCCTCCGCCAGTCTGGAGAATGGGTTGACAGCTTAACAAGCGGACCACCCCCTGACAACCGTTCAGACCAGGGTTTATTATGAATACCTTTTTATACACTCTTTCAAATACCATAGTGTGGGTAGTCGGAGATTAAGATCCGATACTCAGCAGGGAAGAGGTAGATCCGCAGATAGCAAGCGGGGACCCCTTTTTACATTTTTTTATTTACTTTACCAAGAGAACAAGTTGACATGTCGTCACAAACACCTGACGTCAACGCTCTGTTGCACAACATGTGTGCACAGATCTTCGCGTTAACTATGCAACTCGCCGAGCTACAGGCAAACCCTCCTACCCCCTCGGTAGAGAAAAAGTTCAATAAGAAAGTCGAAGTTGTCGCTGACCCTGGCGCCTTCAAGGGAGACAGAGCACAATTTGCCGAGTGGTGGATCAAACTCCAAATATGGGTTCAGGCAAATTGGGATGCATTTGCCAACGATTTCGAGGTAGCCACTGCGGTGCTATCTCGACTAAAGGGACCTGTGGCGGGTCAATACGCCCAAGTTAGAATGCAGGAGTGCTACACCGCGGGAGTGTGGCCCACCTGGGACAATCTCAAAGTAGAGATTGAAAAATATTTCAAGCCGCAAGCTGAGCGTGACTGGGCGCGTCAGCAAATTCGTTCCTTCAAACAAGGCAACATGAGGACTGATGACTTTGTAACCCGGTTCCTGGCCCTCTCCATCCAAGGGGGTCTTGGTAATGAACATGCAGTAGAGCTGCTGGAACGCAATGTGAACCCCCACATTGCAGAACAGCTTTACCTACAGGATATGAGAAATGAGAATCTCTCTCAAGCAGCAGAGGAGGTTCGAAAAATAGGTAGGGCCATAGAACTCTACAAAATGCACCAAGGTGGCGAGACCACCAAAAACAACCAATCCCAGAGGCGCCCTGGGTCATCAAACCATCATAATCATTCTCACGGGTTCAAGCTGTTCAGGCTGCAACCAGGGCAGGGAGCCCCCATGGATATCGGCGCGGTCCAAGGAGGACAGATGCGCAGATTCAAGGGGAACTGCTACAATTGCAGCCAAGAGGGACACATGTCCCGAGACTGCAGAAAAGGAGCGCATGCTGCTCAACAAAAAAATAATCAAGGGCGCCAGGCGTGCCAATTAGAATCCGAAAAACCGGACAATCGGCTCCAGACTCTGGCTGGTCGATCCTATGACAAAATCCGGGCCTTCTTCTACGATCAGCAGGCTGCTGAAATGAAGGCTCAGGGAAAAGAGTTTGGAGCTTAGGTCACTTGGGTGCCTTCACTCCACGAAACAATGAAGTAAACCACAACAAAGTGGCCCCTGCTCCGGGGTGTTGCACGAGCAATAATGGAAAGAAGGGGATGGCTCCCCAATTTGTAAATAGATTTCAAAATTTATCAGAAATATGTACTTGTATGAAGCATTGTAACTGTAATACTTATGATACTACCGCTGCACCAGCGTCTCCCTTGGAGCGTGGCCCTGGCGAGACAAATAATATGGTGCTTGATTCTGGTAAAAATAAAATAGAAAAACATGTAGCTTTCAATACCTCTTCTTCTTTGTTGGAGCCACCCTTTCCCGAAATCCCAAAATGTGTGTTGATGCGCACATATTTATTCCAAAAAGAGATCCATTTAGACGTTGGTGTGGAAAACCTTGCCCAGGGCATAGTACACCCAACCAGCGCACTGCTTAATTCAGGCGCTAACGGAATCTTCATAGATCAGGCTTGGGCGGAGCAAATTGGACTCCCCCTTATAAAATTAGATGTATCTATTCCCGTCTATAATGTTGACGGTAGGCTCAACATAGGTGGCTGTATCACACACAAATGTTCCTTTGTTGTCGAGTACCAAGGACACAGGGAACGAGTCACTGCCGAAGCTACCCAACTAGGGAAGATTAATTTAATCTTGGGCTGGACCTGGCTATTCAAACACAATCCTGAGATTGACTGGCAGACAGGGGTTGTCACATTGTCACATTGCCCTCATGAATGTGTGAACTTGGGTAAACCGAATCACGTCCGTCACAATGAGCGTCTTGAGAAGATAAACGCTGGTCACGTTTATGAGCTCAGATCTCTAGAAAAGATCAACAATGACAATGATGAGGTAAAACCCGAGGAAGAGATTAAGAGGCTGGTACCTCCCGAGTACTGTGACTTCTGGAAAGTCTTTTCAAAACATAAATCAGAGCGCTTCCCAGAGGCTAAGCCTTGGGACCATGCTATAGATTTGAAGGACCATGCTATAGATTTGAAGGACACCTTCAAGCCGAGAAAAGGACACATGATACCACTCTCTGCTCCAGAAAGAGATGAGGTATCAAGTTTCATAGACGAACAGCTTAGGAAGGGTTACATCAGACTTTCCAAAAGCCCTATGACGTCCCTGGTGTTCTTCATTCCTAAAAAGGATGGTAAGAAGCGTATGTTTATGGACTATCGTTACGTGAATGAGCACACGGTTAAAAATGCGTATCCACTGCCTTTGATCAGTCAGCTAGTAGACAAATTGGCTGGTGCCAAGATCTTGACAAAAATGGATCTCAGATGGGGGTACAATAATGTACAAATCAAATAAACAGATGCTTGGAAGGCCGTGTTCACGTGCCACCAAGGATCCTTTGAACCCCTTGTTATGTTCTTTGGGTTGACCAACTCACCGGCGACCTTCCAGAGCATGATGAATGAGATCTTTGTGGATACGCAAAACTGTGTCGTCATCTACATTGACGATTTATTAATATTTACGAAGTCGGACGATGAGGCTGAGCATGACAGGATCATGCAAGAAGTCCTTCGACGCTTACAGGAATGGGACCTATTTGTCAAACCCGAAAAATGTAATTTTAAAGTGAAGGAAGTAGATTTCCTCGGTATGATAATAGGCCAGAACGGAATCAGGATGGACCCTGAGAAAGTTCAAGCTATATTGGACTGGCCAGAACCTACTCGCGTCAAAGGAGTTAGGGCCTTCCTTGGCTTGGGAAATTTCTACTGAAGGTTTATCAAAAACTTCGCAAAAATCATGAGACCGTTGAACGATCTCACTAAAAAGGACATTGTTTGGCACTGGGGCGCCAAGGAACAAGAAGCTTTCAATAAGCTTAAACAGGCATTTACAACGGCGCCCATATTAGCATTTCCAGAATTGGACAAAGAGTTCCGGCTAGAAACCAACTCTTCTGATTTTGCTACTGGGGCTGTTCTATCAATTAAATAACCTGGCAATCTTTGGAGGCCTTGTGCCTATTTATCACATAGTTTGTCGTTTACAGAGCGCAACTATCAAATATATGATAAGGAGATGCTGGCCCTCATTAGAGCTCTAGAGCATTGGCGGCACTACTTAGAAGGTGCTAGACACCAATTTGAAATTTGGACTGATCATAAAAATCTGGAGTATTTTATGACGGCCCGAGACTTGAACCAAAGACAAGCCCGCTACGCGGTATACTTGTCAAGGTTTAATTATAAATTAATTCATAAGCCTGGAAGCTCTATGGGGAAAGCGGACACTTTGTCCAGAAGAGAGGATCATGCCAACGGCATTGAAGATGACAACAAAAGTGTGACCCTGATAGACCAATCAAGGGTTGCCAATGTTAGAATCGGGCAAGATTCCGATCTTCTGGAAGTCTTCAAGAAAGACATCTCCTCAGAAGAGAAGGCGCGCCTTGATGGCAATGAACACTATTTATGGGAAGACAGGCTCTTCCATTTTAAAAATAGAATCTATGTGCCTGAGTCCGCAAGGATCAAGGCAATAGATAGACATCACGACACTCCAGTGGCTGGGCACCCTGGGTGGCAACGAACAATGGAGTTAATCTCCAGAAACTATATGTGGCCTGGCATGGTCAAAGTCATACAGGAATACGTAAAATCCTGTCTGAGATGTGCTATGGCTAAGAATTCTCATCAACCGCCGGCCGGTAAACTTATGCCGAATCCGATACCAGCTGGTCCCTGGCAGGATATATCGGTTGACTTTACGACGGATCTGCCCGAGTCAAATGGGTATGATTCAGTAATGGTGGTAGTAGATCGCTTCTCCAAAGAAGTGGTATTCATACCCACCAACAAAACTATTACTGCTGCTGGTACGGCAGATTTATTCAAAGATTTTGTATGGTCCATCCATGGGTTACCAGAAACGGTTATCTCCGATAGAGGGCCACAATTTGCTAGCGAATTTACGAATTATGGAAGATGCTGGGCATCAAACCTAAATTATCAATGGTGTTCCATCCACAGACTGATGGACAAACGGAGAGACTCAACCAGGAGTTGAAACAATATCTCCGGATATTTATCAATGACAGGCAGACAGATTGGGCCAAGTGGCTAAAGATAGCCCAGTTCTCTTATAATATCAAACAGTCGTCAGCTACAGAAAAAGCACCATTCGAGGTTACTAGATCGTACCTCCCCAGAATGGGTGTAGAACCTGGTAAAAGCAAGAACGAGGCTGCTGAGAACATGGCCAAAGACATGAAGACCATATTGGACGAAATGCGCAAAGCACTATTTAAAATTGCAGATCAGATGAAAGACAGGGCAGAGCATAGATGCTCTAAAGCCCCTGACTACAAGGTCGGCGACCTGGTCTGGTTAGATACCAACCACTTAAAATTAAAGGATCAGCAGTCTAGAAAACTGACCGAAAAGTGGATTGGCCCTTATTGGATTAAGGAAGTCAAACCCAACGCGGTGGAGCTGGAACTCCCAAAATGAATGAGGGTAGTACCCACGGTCAATATTAGCTGTGTGAAACCCTACAAAGGGCCACTGCCGGGACAGCGTGTAGACCGGCTCAGACCGGTTGTAGTCACCCAGGAAGGTGAAGAAGAGTTCGAAGTCAAACGGGTGGTGGATGCACGCTTGAAGCATGGCAAATTAGAGTTTCTAGTCCTATGGAAGGGCTATGGAGATGAGGACAGAACATGGGAACCAGAAGCCGATCTGGAAAATTCCCGCAACGCTGTTCGAGAATTTTATTCTAAGAACCCCTCAGCTCCTAGGAAGCTTAGAGGCATGGACTCAAAACTTTTTAATTCCTTTTTTCAACCTATGCCCAAAAATTTAACTACCACCTCCGGTATTTGGTCTCGCCTGGAAATCGAGCCTTAGAAGGGGGGTAGTGTTACGATAACACAATTTTGGGACCTTTCCTTCTTTTTCATTCTCCGCTTTAACCTTGTATACTTTAGCTTTCACACATGGTGCCACGCGGCACTTCCCCTTTTGTTCAAACTCCTCTTTCTCGTACCGCGTTGCCTTCTTCTTATTTTAGATACAACTCTCTCACACAGTGGAGCTGGTCATGCGGGCTAGGCCCCATGACATCATCAGCCACTAACTTTATCAACTGTACAGTACATAAGTACAAACACTCTGTATTAGTATATATACCCCAATAGATCCAGGAAACTCCTCAGCGAGTCCTCCTGTTGTTCACCAACAAACTCTCTGCAGCCTAAGGGGTAACCACTTCCCATTCACTACCCTTATAGTGTGTTCTTGTGTGAGCCAGAGTAACTAACTCTTGGTTGTTACACCAGCAGTTCTACTGCATGTTCATTTCCTAGACCCCCTTGGATAGAGAGGGCCAGGAACCGGGTTACGAAGTCATCCGTCCTCATGTTTCCTTGCTTGAAGGTACAGATTTGCTGACATGCCCAGTCACGCTCAGCTTGTGGTTTAAAATATTTTTTGATCTCAATTTTGAGATCGTCCCAGACAGGCCACACTCCTGCGGTGTAGCACTCCTGCATTCTAACTTGGGCGTATCAACCTGCCACAGGTCCTTTTAATCGAGATAGTACCGCAGTTGCTACCTCAAAGTCGTTGGCAAACGCATCCCAGTTTGCCTTGACCCAAATTTGGAGCTTGATCCACCATTTGGCAAATTGTGCTCTGTCTCCCTCGAAGGCGCCAGGGTCAGCGATGACTTCAAATTTCTTATTGAACTTTTTCTTGACCGAGGGGGTTGCTGCAGGGGGGTGCACCTGCAGTTCGGCGAGTTGCGTAGTCAACATCAAAATCTGTGCACACATGTTGTGCAACAGAGTGTTGATGTCGGGTTGTTGACTTTGCGATGACATGTCAACTTGTTCTCTTGGTAAGGTTAAAAAAATGTAAAAAGGGGTCCCCGCTTGCTATCTGCGGATCTACCTCTTCCCTGCTGAGTATCGGATCTTAATCTCCGACTACCCACACTATGGTATTTGAAAGAGTGTATAAAAAGGTATTCATAATAAACCCTGGTCTGAACGGTTGTCAGGGGGTGGTCCGCTTGTTAAGCTGTCAACCCATTCTCCAGACTGGCGGAGGCAAGTGCCCGGCCTGGTCAGAGGAAAGAAAAAGTGAAATTTTGTATGTAAATTCTAATCAACAGTGGTTCCACACCGACTGCTGAGCTAAGTGCTCCCCTTAACGCTGGGGGCCGCGTATTGAAGGTATTGGTTCTTCTCCCAAACCACTACAAGGCCGTCGCTAGGAGCGCACCTATCTGCTATGTGGGATATTCCCAACCAATAACCAAATCTCCTTCACCCTAGAGTCCGGGTGCCCAGTGGGACTTTTTGCACAATCGTGCAAGAGAGTAGAAGAGCAAGTCCTAATGCAACAACCAAGAGTTAGTTACTCTGGCGCTGTCATGCACCAAAGTTGATTGGTAGCATGGACAAGTGTCAATAATGAAGTGAATATTCAAAAGACTCGCCTTTGCGCCACACAGGCACAGTGCCACGTGGAATAGTGATTAATATTGCCCTTTTTGAACTTGTGGCTGATCAGCACCACCTCTATTAGGCAATCCAGTCACGCTCACCTTTGCTTTTCCATCCGGTACTTTCCATGTTTCGGCATTTCGGCAAATTTTTGCGTCGCCACTGGCTACACATTGCATTGCGCCCTCGCTTTTGTCGTTTCCCTTACTCCCCTTCCTTTGCCCAGCCCCACCATGGGCCCCTTCCTCTCCTTTTTATTCTCACCTGACGGTCGTTTCTGGATCCCCATTCTAATCCACTTTTCCGTCACCTCCACCCTCCTCCTCCTCATCTTATTTGCACCCCCACCATTTCTGATGTCACCACTTCCTATCCACTTCCGTTGCCGATCCGTTGACTACCACATGCCACTGCTGATATCAGCAAAGCCCCGGCGGCCGGTCCAAATAGGGCAACAGGTCCATCTTCATGACGTCGATCTGCCATCATATACTATCAAAACATCGGTCGCTCGTCTTGCCTGGTTGGAGCGTGGGTGGGTAGTTTTTGAGCTGGAGAAGGTTCATCCCCTTGCGTCGCCCATGTTCATCGCTGTCCCATTCACTTGGGTACACTTATCTTTTGTCCATCGTCTTTGCTACAGCTACACCTACCACACGCTCCCTGGGACTCACTTGTTCCAAATTGGAACTAGTCCTCTCCCTCCCTTGTTTGATCAGGTGGTCCAACACAACCAGTCCATTGGTAAGGCCATGGAACTGTCGGATTTGGACTAGGTGGTGGACCGGTGGCTCCAGTTTCTTTTTCTTCAGCAGAACATTCATTTACAGTGCGATTATTTTTGATTTTCGAATCATTTTTATGGACACATATTTTTTTAGAATGCCTGACTGACAATAAAGGAACTGTGTTGATACTGATAGTGATAGTGTTTTGCCTTGCCCTTTTTTTACTGCATCTTCCCATGACATCATGATTTTCCTGCTCTCTTTTTGCTATTGGACTTTACTTTATGGCTGTACAAACCTGTGACATTACTCACAGCATTCATTGTTCTATCTCTTTCTTTTCCTTTTTTGACAATCTTATCCTGTACTACCTACGCAGGATTCGTCAGCATACATTCCTTCCTTCATGTTCTTTCTCATTCTTTTTGCACAGCTATACTGTGCATAGCCTACTTTTCTTTCACTATATAAACCCCTGTATTTTACCTTGTAAAAAGAACAAGAAATCCAATCCAGACTTCTTCTCTAATCTCAAGTTCACTACTCTCCTACTTGTGATTTAGTGTGGTCACAACACTTCCCACTGCTACCACTGTCAACTGCTGTCATCGTCACTTGTCACTTTTTGAAAGTGATTGTCATCCCCTTCGATTAGAGTCCTTCTGAGCACTACAGTTTGTGCGTCAGGAGCCTGCTATCACTGGGAACCTTGTCACTTTGTCATCCTCGTTGTTCTCAAACCTACCTTGTGCTACGATTAGCAAGGTAGTGCTCGTCCATACTCGCCACAAAGCCCCTATCTTTATATAAATTCAACTATCCATCCTCCTCAAAACCCACACTCATACACCTCTGGGTTTTACTTTGAAGGATCTTTATACGTACCACCCCACGAACAACCAGACCACTCCACTGTTCTAGGAGGCAAAGCCCATAAACAAGTTCCGTGGAATCTGGGAGGATTGTGTGTTTGTTTGTTTTTGTGTGTGGTTTTCTAACAACAGTTCTCATCATCGACACCGGCCTGGTCAGAGGAAAGAGAAAGTGAAGTTTTGTATCTAAATTTCTAATCAACAATAGTTCCACACTATTGCTGAGCTAAAGTACTCCCCTTAACACTGGGGGCCATGTATCAATGATTGTCTCTTCTCCCAGAGCACTACGAAGCCGTCGCTAGGAGCGCACCCTTCTGCTATACGGGATATTCCCAAAAATAACCCCTTAACCCTGGGGACCGGGTTTGCACAACGTGTGAGAGAGTAGTAAGAGCAAGTCCTAATGTAACAACCAAGAGTTTGTTACTCTGGCGCACAACTCAGACAAGCCAAAAGATAATGAAGAGGGAGTAGCTACCCTTTAGGTTTCAACAAGTTAGTTGTGAGGATACAACAGGAGGACTCACTGAGGAGTCTCCTTGATCTATTAGGGTATATATACTACTACAGGGTTGTTTGTACATGTGTACTGTACAGTTGATGGAGGCAGTGGCTGATGATGTCAAGGGGCACAGCCCGTGTGACCAGCTCCACTGCGTGAGAGAGTTGTATCTAAAAATAAGGAAAAGGCAGTGTAGCACAAGAAAGAGGAGTTTGAACAAAAGGGAAAGTGCCGCATGGCACAGTGTATGAAAACTACAGAAAAAGGTTAAAGAGGAGAATGAAAATTAAAGGTCCAAAAATTGTGTATTGTAACACTTGCTGAGGAGTCTCCTTGATCAATTGGGGTATATATACTACTACAGACTATTTGTACCTATGTACTATACAGTTGATGAAGGCAGTGGCTGATGATATCATAGGGTGCAGCCTGTGTAACCAGCTCCACTGCGTGAAAGACTTGTAGCTCAGAATAAAGAAAGGCAGCGCAGCACGAGAAAGTGGAATTTTAAACAAAAGGGGAAGTGCCACATGGCACAGTGTGTGAAAACTAGGAAGGAAAGTTGAAGTGGAGAATACAACTTAAAGGTCCAAAAATTGTGTATTGTAACAGTCAGTGCTGAATTCTAATGCTGCAAATATAAAGTTCATTGCCAAATAGCTTTTTTAGCAGCTGCAGTGGGGCCCACATGTTCAGCTTTTGTGCTTGAAAAAGCTACCCAACTCCATTTCCCTGATGACCAAACAATTGCAGCATTTAATAGTACAGTGAGTGTAGGACTGGCATTTGAGCCAATCAAAATACTTGCACATTCCAAGCCTGACTCCCTTGCAATATTCATTCAATAAGCTATGCGTTCTATCTGAGATACCTGTATAGATATTTATATGAATATATTATAATCATCATTCGGAAACTACATGCATAATTCAAGAATCTAGGTTGACACCATGGAATCAGGTTTCCCATCAGCAAAAACTCTTTTGCTATGTAGCGCTATATAGCCACCACATGTATATATGGATGCTTTCATAGCAACCATAGCCCTATCAGTGCAATTATAGCCTTTATAGCACAAGATTTAGCTAAAAAAAACAAAAAAAAATTCATAATTTGAATTTACCATAGTGTCTGATAAGCATTTACTACTAAATTTGTTGAGATAAAATTTTGTACAAACATCCAAAACATTACTGTGAGTCCAATTGAGCAGACAAGTATCTCTATTTTCCCCAAAGACTGAAATCAAATGACAAACATGTCTAATTGCAGAAAAGGGTATAATATCACCAGGCAGGTAGCCAGAAGCATTAGGCCCAGGTTTGGTGACAGAGTACATCATATGGTTGTCTTCAGCTGTTGGCCTTAGATGATTAAACCATTCAACATAAGCCAAATGATCTTTGGGCCAGTTAGAAGGTGCACTATGTGTGCCATATAAAGTTGTAGGTAACTTGAAGATCACTCTGAGACATCCAATTCTTGTGCCTGGTACAACTTTTAAACAGATAGTAGATAGAGCTTTATATTATAGAACTTACCTGTCAAACCTGTTGATTCACAGTCATTGGAGTTCATCACTATAATAGTATCTAACCTAGGATGCTGCACCAACACTTGAGGGTTTTGCCTTTACAGCATCCATTTGGTTATCAAACAAGTCCACATCATTGTGCCCTGGAATGGGGCTGCTGTAATTTTGAGTTAAGATAGATTTTGAGTACGTCCTCAAAGCCTGGGCAGGAGTGCTTCTCCATGATAGATATAAGTGATTGTTGGGATTTTCTTGGATTCTTTGCAATAATAATATAACAATCCTGAGACTTGGCACAAAGGAAAACATCTTCATTGTCTTTTTCCATGCTCATTTTAAGATAACACTCAAAAGCAAATATTTTTTCCCTACGCAGCAGCCAGGTGATCATTTGAGGAGCTTCATTCCTCTTATTGGAGGCCCTCCATCCATCTTTAGCAAAGTCTATATGAAATATTTCAAACATCTCCATATTGTAGTTGTCAGTGTTACAATTGACGTACCAGTACCTACTCACACTTCACTTTTTGTACTTTTCACTTTTACTTTTTCCAAGTCACATGACCAGTCATTGTCAGGCAACAAATACGAAGCTATATAACAAAGCCCAATGTCTGGTCAAGTCCTTCCTTGAAGGCGGTGAATCAGAGTATGAGAATGAAGAGTATCGGTATGAGCGCAAATCCAAACTAATATTGAACTAAAGAACAATACATCGAGTATGTACCTCTTTATATAGTGAACGGCGATGATCAGACCGAGAAAGGAAAGAACTGAGAAAGTGGTCTGACCAGCTAGCTAACCAATAAGAAAAAAAGGAGAAGGTGGTCCGATCTATCTTATTTACTAATCGTATGAGAAAATGTATTGGTAAGGGATGTGCGATTGGTTGTATCAGTAAGCCCATGATGAGGCGCTGACTCACAACCTTCTTCGCTTATCAATATTCCTCCAAAGTATTCCCAGACATAGCACTGGATCGTGGCTATGTCATCTGGATATCTTCTCGAGGGTCGACAACAAGTCTACCTCGTTGTAGGTACGATAGAACGTGAGTGTGAAGAGAGAATAAGAAGAAAAATGATAAAAGTAACAAGACACCTGCTGTAATCTCTAGTCCAAGGGCAAGAGGAGTGACGGGGATCGAGTCGGCTAACCACGACATGACGGGAATGCGATAAGAAAAATCGATTCCTCACAGTCATGTGACCATTTACCTTACTTTTCATTTCCGGACCTTTCCTTTAAATTTCATTCTCCGCTTTAACCTTGTACTGTAGTTTTCACACTGTGCCATGTGGTACTTCCCCTTTTATTTCATACTCCACCTTTCTCGCGCGGCACTGCCCTATTCTTATTTTAGCTACAAGTATCCCACGCAGTGGAGCTGATTACACGGGCTAGGCCCCATGACATCAGCAGCCACTGCCCCTAGCAACTGTACAGTACATATGTACAAACAAACCTGCATTAGTATATAAACCCCAATAAATCTTGTGTGAGGCAACATTAAACTATAACAAAAACCAAACCTGTCTCCTACTGCACTTGCAGGGAGTAAGAGGTTCAATGAGCTTGAGGTCAACAGATGCTAGTAAATATAGCAAGTAGAGGATTTGGGAGTAAACTCAAGGATTTCGGTTGAGGAGTAAAGCGGGTAAATCAAGTAATAGAAAACTAAAGAACTATACATGAGATGTGCAGGGCTTTAATAGCTAACTGTCCATCCCTCAGACCGAAAGGGGAATAAACAAAAAGTGGTCTGAGGAATAAATCGACCAATAAGAAAAAGGAATAACTATTGTACGACTTTGAATGATTAATCAGCAGGTGAGAGAGTTGTACTAATAATAGGTGTTTGTCACGCGTGTTCAGGAACTGTATCCTCATGATGAGGTACGATCCTGATCAAAGCGTTTATTAGTATATCCAGGCCTTGATGGGGCTTGGAGCTGGTTGGCGAGATGCCTACTATCAGCCCTTACCCATTGTGCTGGCTAGCTGGGAGTGATACCCAGTCTCTGATCTGTGATATAAAGTGGTAACAATGATTGAGAAAGCCTGTGAGGGCTATGAGAAGTAGAATAGCAAATGATACCTCTAGCCCTAAAGCCAGAGGTGTAACAGGGAAAGCGTTCAAAAACCAAGACATAGAGAAAATAATAAATGGTCCTTACATCTTGGGGAAGGACTCGCTGCTGTTGTCTAGCACAACAAACCCGTTGAAACCTAAGGGGTGATCCCTTTCTCTCTTCTCTTTTGCTTGTCCAAGTTATGCGCCAGAGTAAGAAACTCTTGGTCGTTACAGTCAGTGGTGCCAAACCATGTGATAAACTCCTGGTACTGTAAGAGGGAATGAAATTTAGGTATGTTGAAATGGTCCCTGACTCCAAGACAGGTAAGGATATCTTTGTGTTGGTGAAAAATATTGAGAGATCGGGCAAGGTAGCCCAAGGTGGTATCACCATGCGTTGGGTATTGGGCTATCTGAACAAAGTCTAAAAGTGATCAATAGGTGATGATAGCATGACGTGGAAGTTTGCCAATAAGGCATCCCAATAGTATCTTTGCCATATCTTTCCGTTCCTTCCCCCTTATTTGACCAAGAGCCGAAAAGCCATTCTTGAAATAATGAACACCAAAGCAGGGAGGAAGTGCTCTGATGCGTGCATCAAGTTTCTTAGGATCTAGTAGTTTCTGGCACCAATGCTCCATGTGCTTGAAAATGCCCTGGTATAACTGGTGGAGGACATCAGGAGTGATTGCAATATGAATGTTACATTGAGGAAAACCGGTCCAAAAAGGCTTGTAGATGGATCCAGATACTAGTTACTCCTTGCACCTCTCTTGAAACTGATGGAATGAATGTGTGTGTATCTTCCTTAGCCTTATTGATTACTGACTCTGTCCATTGATCAGTACGTGGCTCTCTTGCAGTAGAGGCTGAAAGCTCTTCTGGAGGTTGTTTGCATTTGGGGCAGGTACCATATCTTGAGCATGTCACCAGACACTGCTCTGGATAATTGGCCACATAGCAGGCTAGCACAGGGTATACTTTTCTCACTGCTCCATCTCCTCCTACCACCTCTATTCTATCCCTCCCAGCTTTTTTTAATGGGTCCAAAATAATCTTCATTGACTCATGAAATAGTCTCTGCACTCTGGATGACTTTTCTCTCGAAGTGAGTTGCATGCCTATGATTTTGCTTACAGACAAGTAGCCAATTAAGATACAGGCATGCTGGCTTGGCCTCCATTGTATTGCATGTGGAATATTGCCCAAAGTTAGATACACAGGATAGGCAGATTTGGAATCTGAGAACTGCGTCAATTGTGTTTTGTCTGTAGCAATTATGACTGGTGAAAGAGCTGCTCCCTTAGGTAGATGTGCCTGCACACATAAGAGTCAACATTCAAATAAAACTAATATCCAGCGTAGGTAATACTGACCTAGATTGCATGCCACCACTTTCCAGTCCACATTTCATTGTAATATCTATTCTCTTTCTGTGCATTACTGAATATCTTCTTAGGTTTGTAGACAATGTGTTTTGCATGGGCTGGGTTGCCAAGGAGGCTACAAATGGCAGAAATGACATCACGGTAATGAATTAGATGCTTGTCATCAGGGGCATCTGGGAATGCAATGGTTTTTGACGTCCAATCAGCTCTGGATGGAATACCAGAGTCAACTATCTTGTGTAGCCCTCTAATGTTGTGACAGGACCCAGTCTCTCTTTGACCTGAAATAATGGCTTCTTTAAGGAGATCCAGGAAGTGAATAGAATAAAAACATACCCCTGGAATAGCTAACAAACGGTCAAATGATTTGTGACCTATTCCATCCTGGATTGCCCAACAGGCGACTCGCCAGTCTGTTTCTGATGCAAATGGAAAGAACCTAGTATCCTGTGGTCCAGAGGCAACTGGGAAATTATTATCCATATCCACATCCCCATAGTTGTCTACAGCCCTTCTTGCCCCTTCAAACCCTTTTCCCCATCCCCCATGCAAGGTATGGTCCATACATATTATCTGACCTGCTGTAGGGGGGAGAATTTCTACATGCTCATCATCATTATCATTCAGGAAAATGGCATTTGGATGATTAGAAGGACCCGCTGCCTCCCCCGGCTCCAGATCCTCCTGTTCAGGTTGCTTGAGTGGGATGAATGCAAATAGATCTTCTTCAATATCTTCCACAGCATCTCCCATGGATTCCTTCTGGAATGGATGTGGAGGGCCATAGGGGGTATCTAAATTTTCTTCCACCAGCAATCCTTGCCTCTCCAAGTTGCCATCCTGCTGGGTTAGGATCTCTCTCAATTTACCCTTGTGGTATCAAGCACAGCTTCTTGCAGAGCCAAGGTGCATATTGAGGGCACGGGTGCTGGAAAAAGATCTGCCACATGATGCTGGGCATGGATGAGGAGTATTACGGTTGACAAGCATTTTGTTAGGTTAGAGAATGAGGAACAATGGATGCTACAGAGAACCCAATTTTACAGACGTCCAACAAGGTCACATTACAAATACATGACTATTTAGTATGAGGGCGCTTAGAATCTGCAATATCAGAAGCAAGGAACGGAGACAAGGCATTATGATGGCGTTTAAGAGATTGGAGAGTAACAGCTTGCAGACGATTAGATGCCTTGACTGCCTGAAGAGAGGATGTGGAGGAAGTGATCAGATTCAAATACCTTGCCATACTTCCACTGGTCCCTTTTGCACCTGAGACGTAGCTCGACACCAAAGGGGCCTGGAATGCAAATTGCTCATCATCGGACCTCCAAAGATCCAGATGATGGACAAACCCTGACGCTCTGCTAAAAGGCCTCCTCAGATCCTTCCACCTTTCATTGCGTTGACTTTCCTCTAGAGCTTCCCCGAGGATATCAAGAACATTGTCATGGGAGGCATGCGACAGTACAAAGAATGGTGGCGGACCTGCCTCTACAAATCTCTTTAAGAGGAACAATGTGGACCCAAACAGAACCTTGCAGAGGCGCTTGAAGTAAGGGATCATAAAGGCGGAGTATTCAGATACATTGTTTTCAAGAAACAGGCTGAGACCATTGACTCTGCCAAAGGTCTGATACTTGTGGGAAGCAAAGAAGTACCTAGAGTGTAGATACATCAATCTTGTGCAACCCTAACAAATGACAATCTTCCCATAAGCTGTTCGTGTACCTTGTCAAAAGAGGCTTTATTTTCCTCTTGGTCCTTGAGCTCGCCAAGACTGTCAGCATTTCTCATACTTGCAGGAGGGAGCTTAGGGGGATAAGACGTGTCACTGGAGGATATGAGTACAAGATCTGGGCGGCGCCTTCCACCAGCATCACCGACTGCTTGGACAGCATACACAGAAGTCCACCATCTGGACCTCTTGAAGGTGCCGGAATCCACAAGCTGATCAACTTTGTGAACCAGATAATTGAGAAAATCTGCGACCTCTCCTTCTGAGCCAGGGCTCCATGGTTTAGTCAAATCCGGGCAGGAACTTGCAGCAGTCCATTTCCCTAAATCAGATGAGTAAAGCCCTTCCTGTTGAAGGCATTCAAAGGCAGTGAACAAGGGGTTTTCTTGAGGGAGAGCACCCGGCGTAGATGGGAAGAGTTCAGATAGGGGAAATAGGATGTGGAGCATGTCTTCAAGGGCGCAGTAATTCTTCAAGGGAGCTGCCTCTGCCTTGATAAGGGGGTCCATAAAGGTGTGATAATATTGCTTAGGTCCTTTAAATAGGAAAGCGTTGAACTGGAACAGGGATAAGTGAGAGAGACATCAAGAAAATAATGGGATGGACGTACTTTGGGTTTGGTCGGTGGGGTACCATGGCGTCGGATGGGAAAACCTTCCAAAGAATATGGGTGCTATTGGAGTATAAAGTGAAAAACTAAGGTGCAAACCAACAATGTACTTACATTGAGCGTGGCCATGGCAAGATTCCTAGGAGAAATGTTAATGATGGGTGAGCAACACAATTTTGAGCAGCAAGCTGGCCCTGATGGAGGCCCGTGGAAGCCATACTTCCTTAAGCTGGAACCTGCAGGCATACTAGGTGAGTAAGGCAAGATAAAATAGCGGTGAGTCCAAAAGCAGGAAGTGCTCACCTTGCTGAGCACTTCCTGCTTTTAGAGGGGACATGTGATCACACTCAGATGTTTGCACACCTTCCTAAAGAGGATGCTGCCCGGACGCTCGGACACCTTCCACTTATGGTCAGACCAAGAATGGCAGGTGCTCAAACGCCCGCTCAACTGGTTATCCCAAAAAATGCTGTCCATATCGGAATGTGAGCTGCTGGCACATGCACTGAGCATGTATGGGAATGACCTCATGCATCTGGTGGAAATACTCAATGGTATCCAAGACTTACCCGAAGGCCTGGTCGACTTTCAGAGCAACTTATCAACATTTTTATTGTACGCATCAATTTTGTCTGCATTGCCAGGTAAGCTTTCAAGTTTGATTTCTGATCTGGCTATCCTCAGCTGAAACTATATATTTGTCAGTTCTATCTGAATCCGAGTTATTGTTAGGTGAACCCTCACTAGGTATGTTTACATTTTTTTTTCCGGTTCCTCTTTGGAGAGCCAACGGCACCATCCAATACTACAACTAATTTAATAAACTACCTAAAGAGCAATCAGCACTACCAAACATGCTTCCCTGGTTGGACGAGTCTCACCCCTCTACTGGCACTGATACACTTCAAGATTCTGGTTCTGAATCAATCAACCTACCCAATACCAGCATTCCGAAAAAAACCATTATGGCTTCCAAACAAAGCAATCGAGGGAAATCCAGAGCAACAAGACGACGAACTCAATGACCTCAAGACCTGGCACCAGCTTCTGAGCCCCGTCGCCCTTGTCCTAGGGGTGGTATTACTTTTGCACTGCAGCGTCAGGGTGGCGAAGGTACATGGCAACAACGAAGTAGTCCCTGGATCAACACAAGCGAGAATGTCAATGCCATCATTGCCACTCTTTCATCCGCTCATTGGGGCTCTAATGCGCACAACCCAGAAGCTTGGCTCCTGAATGTCAAGTCTGCAATCCAGGAGGGAGCATATCTCGACAAATCACTTATGTCAGTTGTTGCTCGTTGCAAGGGACTTAGTGGCAAGGATATAGCTTCTTCTGATGGTCAACCTTATGTGGCTTGTCACAAAATGTCAAAGGTAAGTACACCAGTCTTTCTCTCATATTCAATATTTTTCGCTCATATCTCAAATTGTAGTATCAAAATATGAACAGGTCTCTCTCTCAATGGAATATACAATCAAGAAATTGCCCATCTGTCCAACAAACCCAGCAAAAGGACGTTCCAAGACTGGCATTCCACTGAAAGCCAGTTTGCAGCCCTTGCTGGTGGAGGCTCCATATATTTATTAGTACTTATTGCCGGTCTGGGTCTTTGTGTTTCAGTTGCTGCCATGGAGGGCACTTCACCATGGGACCTTGCAAATTTGCTAAGAATGCCAAAGAAAGGTAAGAATTGAAGATAGTCGCCTCTTGTATACCTCTTACAAGCTTTAAAAAGGAACTGTTGAGGGAATTTAATTATCGACCACATCATTCCTACTATCAGTCGCATGCGCCTCTCTTTGCCCATTAGCATGGCATCAATGTTCTCCCCGGCTATACTTTCAGAGCATCAGCTAGCCAATGAATTTGATTGCACAAATATCAGCTCGTCAGACCGTTTTTTTGATTCTGTTATCTTCAAGTGCGTGCTATAGTTTTTAGCTTTATTGAAGTATAATAGGATATCCTTGCTAATAACAATATACCTAGTAACTTTGTCTTACTTGATCATGACTGCGTCGCCTGGCAGTCTTGCTACACTTCCACTATTTGCACTGGTAATCCAGCTATCCCTCTGCACCAACTGGGTTACAACATGCTTACACCACTGGAACACTCATTTCTGAGTAGGTGGTACAGTCCCCCAACTGAAGTCAATGAGGAAGAGGACTGTCCTCTTCCCAACTCCTATCCATCTCGCTTTCTCAGTGAGAAAAACACCACCACCATCCCTACGTCGTATAATCATTCTTTGGCTGCAAGCAAAGTCTTTCAGGCAGAACATGATTGCAATGCCAATGTCCTGTGGACTGAGAAGGCAAGGGAGTGAGCAGTGAGGGGCCATGTAGCAACAGACACTAATGACTTGCGAACACAGGTATGTGGCTACATATTGGGAGCCTTATCCGATCATTTACCTGAGTTATTGCTAGCTTCAGTCTCTGTATCAAGACAGTGTAAAGGCTACATGTGAGACGTACCTGAGGATCCCAGCAAGCATTATTTTGGGGTAAGTTCATTGTACACTCAAGCTTTCTATGCCTTATCAAACTTCTTGATATCAGCCAATCACTCAATATTCGCAACTCAGACGGCTCCCTCATAGTCTTTGTTTGCACATCCCTCCCTGACTATATCCGCTCATCACTACAGCCAAAGCTCCTGGCTGCATTTGAGAATAATGAGCTGCTTACTGAGAAGCCTGGTCAACATGATGAGAATGACATGTTTGAGGCGCTATACTTTTCCTGGTACAACCGTCACTGCACAAGAGTAAGTACTAATACAGCCATGTTATTCCTTTCCAGCTGCCCACTAACTTCCTTGAAAACCAGGGAGATGACGCTCCAACTGAGATTTTGCCTCTCATATTGGAGAGGGAAGATGGACATTGTACCAACTATTCCCAGATAATCCCTTACCTGTCCAAGGAAATCAAAGATTACGGCACTATTTACAAGATTATCAAAGTTGTCTTTGCAGACCTATTCCATTGGATCAATGATGTGGTAAGCTTATTTATAGTACATTATTGTGGTATCTAATCTAAAAATCACTCTATCCACAAGATTGAGCTCCAGCTGCCTGAGGAGTATGAGTTATTGGCTGAAGTTGTGTCAATTTTGCCTGGCAACAATTCGTCTCCAATATTCCCCTTCCTTTCACTGGAGATTAACCTCAATGTCTCTACCAAAGGTCACCAAGATAGCAAAGACAAGGACTTCTGTCTTGTCCTTCCTATTGGTAATTTCCAAGGTGAAGCCCTTGTTATGGTTGAAACAGGTCTGGTCTTGGAATTAAGGCAAGGTGACTTCGCCATCTTCAGATCTTGAGACATTACGCACTTCAATCTGCAATACCAAGGCAAGAGAGCATCTTTTGTTTTCCATACTGACAAAGAGTTCTCTTCATGGGCAAAGAATAGAAATGGATGGGCAGACAATGTAGTTTGAATAGTTTAGCTTTTTGCACGTCTTTTCTTTGTGAAGTTAGTATACTTTCAGATGCTCCCACACCAAAATTTGACGTGTGGTAATTTAATCCTCCCCACGTATTGCAGGTCCATCATCCTCCTTATACTACTCATGGATAAAAAATCTGCTTCTAGTAAAACCAAATCTCAGAAGGGTAAGATTACCAAAGATGCTGGGGAGTATGAGAGGCTTAAGGAAGTTGGGAAAGCTCAAACTAGGGCTGCCAGCAAAGCAGCTCAAAAGACATTTCTGGAGAGACAATGTCAAGGTATTTGTTTTTTTAAATCTCCCATAAAATCTTATATTCTACTGATGCTATTTAGAAATCCTGAAATGTACTGCTGATACTCTTGAGGAAGAGGATGAGGGGGAGGATGCCCCACTGCCACCCTCCCAGAAGTGTAGGCGTAGGAGGGAGGTAGTAGATGACCAGGATAAAAAGCATGATAATAACATGGTCTAGACTCCACCTTTAACTCAACCTAGATCCTGGAGGCCTATAGATAATGAAGATAAAGACAGGAGTGGGGATGTCAATACAGATACAGAAGAGTTTAGGAACACTGTTAGAGGGGATAGTGAACAAGAAGATATGATCCCTTTATCTTGTATATCAAAGTTGTCTTTTAATATTGGTGAAAGCACTAGCACACCATCTTGTTTGCCATCTGCAGCTCTTTCTATTCAACCTTCCAGTTGCACATAAAGCACAGCAATAGCTAGTGTATCTTCATCTTCTGCTATGACTAGGAAGCTCAAACCTACACTAGCTCTTTTCCCTCCTTCTTTGGCACAGCTAGCTATAGAAGCCCATACTCAAATGTGTCTTCATATCTCAACAAATGAAGGATTCCCCGCTTCTAATATACACTCTGATATCTCATGGCAAATAATCACTGAAAGCTCCAAGATTAGCAACAGCTTTGAATCCAAATTAAGGGAGGTTGAAGAAAATGAAGTGTTGAAAATCTTCATGATGGATTATGTGAGTGTATTCTTTCATTGCTGTGATTTGGTTTTAACTCTTGCTTGAATTTTGAGGTATGGTTTGCTGGGCCCCAAATATGGGAAGAGGTTGTAGCCAAAGCCAGACTCATGATCAATGGTGCATATGGTATCCCAGGGGATATGTCTCCTGAAGAAATCAAACTTGCTGTTCAGTGGTTGATTGATACATGTGCATTTACTGATGGGGACCTTGATATAAAAGTGAGAACTATTTTTTTATATTGTATTACAATTTATGGGTATCAGGGAAGAACCTATAACAAGCAAAAACCATTCTCAAACCCTGTTTTCAAGGATCTCATAAGGAACCAATGGTTTGGAAGAAAAGGTGAAGGAATTAGGTACGCACATATTTTCAAAAGTATTCCTTTGCCTCTACTTGCACTGGTTGCCTCTGCGGTATGACTTCTTCTTCCTACTCTTGAATATTTACTTACTTATCCACTAGGTTAAGTGTGCTCTTAGAGCCTATAATAGTGGTGGTAAGAGCATACAAGGTTTTTCAGAGAATATGTTCAAAATTAGGTGAGTTCTAATCACGTTTATAATAGTTCTGCCTAATCTTATTAGTAGATGGGGATTCTACTTTGAGAAGCTCTCTACACTCCAGAAGCATTGCCCTAGTTGGATGACTCAAATGAGGAATAATCTTTACGAAAGCATTTTGTAAGTGGTATATATCTACTGCCTATCCTTTAGCTAATGTGAAATATATATATACAGACAATCAGCCAATCTTCAATATCTTAATCAAAAACCTCAAGAAGACAATTATAGGATTGACTTTGATGCTTTAGAGGAAACTATGGTAGCATAAGTACTCAGTTAGTAGTAAAGTCTATTCATAGTCTAGATTGTTTGATTATTTTAATGATGTTGTGCATTTTTGATATTGCTTTTGATATTACGCATTTCTTGCATTACCCTTGAAGTTATAATGGCAATAAATGTCCAAATAATTGATCCAATCTATAGGTACATATGAAACAAGGTGAAAGCTATAAGACTTGTATTACAGCTATTTTTTTTATAAAGACTATAAAACCTAGGCAAAAGCTATAATTAGTTGGCTTGACTCTCAAAGTAAAAAAAGATCCCCAGTATCTATAACAGCTATAATTGGCTGGCTTGACTCTACAAGTAAAAAAAGATCCTCAACATCTATAAAAGGCTATAATAGCTTTTAGTCATCTATAAGAGCCTATATGTGACTCTATAAATGCCAGAGGTTCTATAACAGGTCTGACAGTTATGACAACTTTATAAGTACCTATATACAAGTATAGCTTTATATTTGTTCTATATGGCTACCCCCATTTTTCCTGATGCCAGGCATTTGAGCCAGCACCAAATATAGTAAATCTAAAAGACTCAATCAACACTGAATATCTAAACAGTTATCAGTATGCTACTCCTCCTCCTCCTCTGTGCTGTTTTCATGCTCATCAGCATCCAGGTCAGCATCATCTCCTATAGCTTCCTCTATTGCTGTAGGTTTAAGTAATGGTGTTTTGAGCTTGCCACAGACTGGCTTTTTCCATGCAGGCTGGCGCTTTTCTGCTTTTGCATTCTCACACTCTTCCTTCCATTGATTGACTTTAACCTGATAATTTGCCTTCAGATCCCTGTTGTGTTGCTTCCTTGCCTTGTTATCCTTTTTCCAGGCCTCCAAAGCCCCTGCACGCTGTCCTCTTGCTTCTTTCCAAGCTTGTTTGACTTCATTATCTGCCACCGCTTTTTCATGGTCGACAACTTGTGAAAAGAAGGTATCACTTGTAAGGTAATATGGAAGCCCATCTCCCATCAACTTCCCATATTTTTTTGTGTTTATTTTTTCCTCCTCCTGCACAGTAAGTTGACCATGCAATTTACTACAGTATATCCCCTGCAGGATGATTGTGGACTGCATCTCACTCATGGCTGCTTTGCATGCAGCCTCATGGTCAAGAGTTGCATTGAGTTCTTGCTGCAGTGCTCACTCTTGTTCAGTCCATGGCTCAAGGTCAAGGAAGGTGTATTTCTGCCTTCAAGAAGGTGAGATAGTTGTTGGTAGATAATGAGGTAAGCATGATAATGAACGCAAAGCGCTGCCCAAAACAAGGGAAAAAAGGAGGATACAATTACCTGTGGCAGTCTATTTTTCTGCTGTGCAGGAGTAGTCAGGAAGCCAATGGGATCATTTGGTGATACAAGGGTAAGTGATTGAAGGAATGAGCTAGATGTTGAGATTGACGAAGACCCAAACAGATCTTTATCGTTGGCTGTGTTTTTGCCAGCACAGGATTGCTGATATTGATAAATAGCAGTAGTCACAGCCTGGTACTGGACTTGACTGCTGTAGTGATAAGTGCCCATGGCTTGAGGTTTCCAAACTTGTGGCCATCACATCATGCAAGATAATATTACAGTTTAGTGGCCAGGCACCTGTTTGCTTGAAAGCAGCTTTAATTGTTGTGGTGGTGAGAGCCCGGATGTGGGCCTTTTGATAAACCTTTATAAAGTTTTTCTTTGTGATCTTCTATCCTGTATGTGGTCCTCTCAAATTCATCCCATTCCTCTAACCAGCAGCATTTCAATACACCAAACACAGCCACATCAAGACTTTGGTAGACATATGTCGTGTGTGCTAGATAGTACAGCACATAAAAATTATCTTTGCGTGCATAGGTAAGGAATGTTTTGGTATAATGGGAGTTGTGACCATCTACTAGGAGCAGCCTTGGTCTGCCAGCTGTCTTTTCACAAGTCTTCTTGTCAAAATCCTCAATCCAGCAACAGCCAATAACTCTATTAGTCCACCCTTATGCAAAACAGGCAATCTTTTCACTGTGGGGATTGACTTATATAAGCTCAGCTTATATGCTGAAGATATTGGATATCTGCATTCTGACTGGCTGAAAAAAGCTAAAATTGAATATTTTCAGCATATAAGCTGGGCTCATATAAGTCGATCCCCACAGTGTTTGGTGCATAGTGTCAGCATCACAGGATGATTACCATGACAAAGTTACTTACAAAGCACACAGCTCATTATTTTGATGCCAGTGCGTACCAAACTTGAAGGCTTTCCCTTTGTAAATCACAGCTGGTGGGATTTTAGCACCATCTGTGCAAATTGTCACCATAACAGTGATGTTTTTGCTGTTCCCGCTGCATTGCTGATACTGATTCTTAGCACCTGCAGGTCCAAAAACACACTTTTTGTTCCCACCACCTGGTTGGAACCCAGTCTCATCTGCAGCCCAGATGCAATCCTCTTTGATATCAAGTGTCTCCACTGTGTCTTCTAGTAAGTTAAACTATTGTTTGTGAGTGAATGGATTGACAGCTCGTCCTCGAGCACTGTCTAGACTGCAGCTCCAGTACCTGCCTGTGAGGAATCAATTTTTCTTATCGCATTCCTGTCATGTCGTGGTTAGCAGACTCAATCCCTGTCACTCCTCTTGCCCTTGGACTAGAGATTACAGCAGGTGTTTTATTACTTTTATCCTTTTTCTTCTTATTCTCTATTCACACTCACGTCCTATCGTACCTACAACGAAGGAGACTTGTTGTAGACCCTCAAGAATATATCCAAATGACATAGCAACAATCCAGTGCTATGTCGGGGAATACTTCGGAGGAATATTGATAAGCAAAGAAGGTTGTGAGCCAGCGCCTTCTTATGGGCTTACTGATACAGCCAATTGCACATCCCTTACCAATACATTTTCTCATACGATTAGTAAATACGATAGATCGGACCACCTTTTCCTTTTTTCTTATTGGTTAGCTAGCTGGTCAGACCACTTTCTCAGTTCCTCCCTTTCTCGGTCTGACCATCGCCGTTCACTATATAAAGAAGTACATACTTGATGTATTGTTCTTTAGTTCAATATTAGTTTGGATTTGCGCTTATACCGATACTCTTCATCCTCATACCCTGATTCACCGCCTTCCAGCAAGGACTTGACCAGGCATTGTGCTTTGTTATATAGCTTCGTATTTGTTGCCTGACACTGCCTACCATATCTGAATGTTCCTCAACAAACCGGTCAGTCCAGTTCTTTCCTACACCATTAAACGGGAACTGATTTCCCAATCGAGCCTTCAGGACTTCATCCACATGCTCCTTTAGGCATTGATGATTCAGAGAAAACCCCCAATGTCCAAGCTCAAGACAGTACTAAACCACTCTGCCTGCCTCCTCTGACTTCAACAGGCTCTGTTCTCAACCATATATTGGTTCATGCTTTGTCCCCCAGCAAGCCAACAAGAGACAGTGATGTGGTTGACTACCACAGGCTTCCCATTTTCCTCTTGAAACTCCTCTTCAACAGCTCAACAAATGGTGTGCATGCTTCATTTTGGCTGTGAGTCATCTTCTTGCTTTGCTTGATATACTTCAGTTATCAGGAAAAACCATATAGCTATATAGCTAGGCAAGTTACTATACCAGCTATAACAGCATTATCTGGGCTTTGAAATACTATATGCAACTATAGCACCAGCTATACCAGCTATACCGACTATAGGAGTTAATATTGAGCCTTACAGGTACAGTAGTAAGACTATATGAGCTATGAGAGTTGATTTTGAGCTATACAGCTGTAGGTCAGTAATTTACTAATATATTAATTGTCTATTGTATACTCCAGAAATCTTATGTGTGAGTCTAATTATTGAATAATGTGATAAAATGTTACTTATTGTCTGATTACCAGTAATATATATCTCTCTCATAGCTGCCTATAGTACTATATAGAACAGTTGTGAAAGTAGTCAGAAGTTTTTGACAAAAGCATTTTTAAAGAAGTTAAAATAATTATTGAAAAAATTGCAAGAACCTTGCATAGGTGAGCTATAGGAAAGAAGTACCTCATCAGCTAGCTACTTATTTCAAAAGTCCATAAATACAAGGCAGCTTACAACAACAACTTGTCAGAAAATTCACTAAGTCCAAAAGATGGTTATATATACTATATCATATGTTATGTTTTGTAAGCCTACATGGTGTAGTGGTTAAGAGCCCTGGTATGAACATGCTGAGTAAGCTCAAAAAAGTGGCCAGCATGTGGTTGTGGGTTTAATTTACACAGCTGGCAATTATTTTGCTGTTAGCCCCAATCTTGCTATAGGAATATAGGAGCTATATTATAGGCAGCTATCAGAGCTGGTATAGTTACAAACCTAGCTATATAGAGTTATATAATAGGGACTTGTCTACACCAACTATATATACCAGCTGTAAGAGCCTATATATTGCTCTATGGGCTATAATAGCTATCTGGGGTTTGTCTGATGCAACAGCTCTGCTAATAGCGTCCTCTTGTAACAACCAAGAGTTTGTTACTCTGGCGCACAACTCAGACAAGCTATAGAGAGGATGATGAGGGAGTGGTTACCCTTTAGGCTTCAACAAGTTAGTTGTGAGGATACAATAGGAGGACTTGCTGAGTCCTTCCCCATGTATTGCTCCTGTATATATACTAAAATACATGAGGTACTGTACAGTTGTAAATAAAGTTTAAAGTCCAATGTCTAGCATGTGACCGGTCACATGGTGAGCCTAGACACTGGTCAGGTGATGTGTCACATGATTGATCATGTGACTTGGAAAAAGTAAAAGTAAATGAAAAAGTGAAGTGTAAGTAGGTACTGGTACATCAATTGTAACACCTCTTGGTACTCCCTAGATATTTGCCTCTTTTTTGTCATGGATTTTGGGCGGCCTACCATCCTAGGATATTTAAGAGGTAAATTGAACACTGTGCTGCCACAATGTTGCTATGGTACACAACTCAGTTATCTTGTGTTGCTTCCTATTAAGGTATATCTCACTCGGATAGCATTCTGGTTGACACTCATCACTGGCACTATACTGGCACAATACTCTCGAGCCCCAAAGTCTTTTAAGTACACTGTACATGTGTATGTGACACTATAGCACTATTGTACATAGTTTTGGGGGCACAACATTAAATCATATCCACTTTACACACCATTCACTCTTAAAGTTGAGCTTTATCCTCAATTTATTGCACACAAAATCACATATTGATTTTACATTACAATAACAATATATATGCATTCTTAACATGGTCAGGCTACGTAGTGGGTGATTACACAAAAAAAGCATGTGCTATGGCAGATTGGCTCAAATGCCGGTCCTAGCTCAAATGCTGGCCCCACACTGTAGGTGTTATAATACACAATTCTTGGATTTTCAACTATTAGTCTCCTCTTAAAACTTTCTTTCTCTTTTTGAACACTTGTGCCATACAGCACTTTCCTTTTATTTCAAGCCCCACTTTTACTTTTACTTTCTCATGCTACACTGCTTCTGTTTATTTTTAGCTATTACTCTCTCACATGATCGAGCTGGTGTAACAATGCCAACAAGACACAGTCTTGGGGCACAACAACAACAATAACTCAATAGAGGAAAGGAAGTGTACAACTCATTAAGAGAGGGAACTTGTTATACTAATGTTGATCATCAGGAAATCGGGGAGACGCTGGCATAACCAGGCGGAGTTGATATGTGGGCATCAATGTGGCTGCAGTTTAAACAAAGGGAAACTGCCATATGGCACAATGTGTGAAAATTCAGAAAGAAAGTTTGAAGCAGGGAAAGAAAGTTGAAGGTCCAAAAATTGTGTATTGTAACACCCATCCTTCTAACACAATTTTGATGCTGTCTTCCTGTTCTCACATCTAATCAAACTCTTCCAAGTTATGACATGATCATTAGACAAAAATACATGCAGCAATTACGTGGCCGGGTTACTTTACTTTACTCAATATTGTGACTGACTGACCATTCCCAAAGAGAGTTGCATGCCTGCTTTAAAGGCCCTCTTAGCAGCTTTCTCAGCACGCAGCCAGCTCTGTGTCATCAAGCGCTCTCAATAATTGGTTAGCCGGTCTGCATTTCTGGCACACCATAAATGGTGCTACCTGGCATGAGCATAAAATGCTTCATCATGTATGTTGAGGAGTTGCAAAAACTGGTTCCCATATCCTCCAAGTGCACAAAGAGGCCTCCATCACTATAGAGGTGTTACTCTCACTTTGTTATGGCCTCAACCTGACCAATTCTCTCAATGCTGCAATCTGGGCAATGGCCAGCCTAGCCTTTGGTCATATTGTTGGTAGGCACTTCCTTTCCTTCACTCCCCTTCACTCCTCTTCCTCCTAACATCAAATCATCCCTCTAATTACTTGCACAATCTTGGCAAACCTATCATCCCCAGTGCCAATCTTTTTTTCCCCACCAAACATATCTTCCATGCCATCATCCCACTGCCACTGATATTCAATCATCTTCCTGGTAATACTGTTTTCACTACCTTCCATATACCTACCCTGCAAGA